CGCCAGTTATAACTGAAGAAGCTTTTTCGATAAGAGGTGTAACGACTTTTAGAAAACTTCACACCCAGTTGCCTAAACTGAATTTTTCAAGCTTGATCATCTATTGTGTATTTTTCAGATATTGTGTTGGTTTGCTGCAGTATTTTAAAGGACAAACTGTTTCACTTAAACATTAAATTAATGTAGTTCTTTGATGCAGTTTAATGTTTTTACATGGGTTGTCATTCCTGTTATTGTCCAGTTATTGTAGGAAAATATCAAATTTGTAATCTGTTTAAGGGGGGGGGGGGTCTTAGTTTATTTTTAACTCCTGCTTTAGTATGGTTGTTATGCTTCCTTCTGTGGCCAATTAGCATATTTTTATCTATCATTTTGGTAAATGTTTGGTTCTGTGTTTAGTTGCTATGTGTCTTTTTGTCACTGCAATGTCACATGTTTTTTAGTTAGTGCTCTCCACATTATTTATGACTGAGTTCTTTTTTTAATCAACCCTGTGTTCTTATCTGTTCAGTATCTTCAGTTAATCCAATTTATGTCTAATTTTCAATATATTTGTCTTGTTTTTTCTTCTGTTCCTGCATTATTGTGATCATATTATTGTACATTCTTAAATATGCAAGCGTTTCTAAGCGTTTAAAATGAGTTTGATCTTATTTGATTTACAGAGTGTTGCAGAGACACAATAAAAAATATGGAAATATCTTTTTTAATCTATGTTAATAGTTTCATTTGATATGCAAACGGAGGAGAGATTTTCAAATGTGACAGCTAAACGAAGAGGGTTTGTAACGCTCACGAGGGTTGTTTTCAATTAGTATTAAAGGTTGGCGACATTTAAAAATTGTTGGCTTTATGTGGTAAAATAAATAAATAGAATAAATCCCTGTTGTGCATTGCAAATTTAATCTCCATGAAAACCGCAGTGTACATGATTAAGGTGTTTTGTTGAAGTTGAAATGTTGCATGGAACTTTCATGTATTATCACTGTTACATGCTGAGGAGGCTGAGCGGTCTTGGAGGTGGGACCCAAACCGTTTGAAAAGGACACTTCTTTAATTGTTTCTGGTGTAGCACATCAACCAAACAACACTAACTATAGAACAGAGGCAGACATGTTTCTTGAGTAGAGGTGGAACAAAATTTTAAGAAACTAATATAAGATTATATACAGCTGCAAAATAACACAAGATTTGTTTTATATAAGCAGCTAATGAAGAAAAACATTTACCAATAAAGACAAAGCAGAATTATTTTAATTAAATTCCAAACAATACTCAAATACCCACGCCCCCCCTTCCAAATTCTCCAATGGTGCAGTCCTGTGCACAGCTGCTTGGAGAGGGAAATGGCAAAGGTGAGTATTTCAAAATGAACTTTCATAATTCACCTCTTTATTTCATGCATTTCCCTTTTAGGAAGAGTTAAGAAAAAAAAATGTTGTAAAATGAAATCAATTTACCTTTTTACAAAAAAGAAATCAAGATGAGGCCTACCAAAGAAACCACACCCCAAACAAATCCACTGCACCCAAAACAAAACAAACCAAGAAAATCAGATGCTGTGTTTAACTGTTATCTTTATCAAATTTACAGGTAACAATGGCTCATTGTTAAAATCACTTAAGACCCACATTCCCAATCTAATCAGAATACTACTTGGGTTATTTAATGTTAGTTTAATAGGCTATGCAAAATTATATAACTCAGAAAAATGTGAACAATTCAAAAAGTGTGGTTTACTTTCTACATCTTTGAGTATATTTGCCTAAAAGTTATTCTTGCATTAAAATAGTCAAAATACATTTTCTCAGCTCAAACTGTACTAGCCTGTCAAGCAGCTAGTTATGTTAGAGCGCCCTCTAGCTTTAGAGTTGGAGAACATATGACAGTTGGTTGACTTTATTGGCTTTTAGATCCATAAAACACAGTTGATTAACAAGAATCCCCTTTATTTACTTTATTATATTGTTGAAATTATGAGAAATTGGGTCAGGAATAGTAATAATACAGCTTTTAACTTAGTGGGAAATAAAGAAAGTATTTCACTAGATTATTTTTCAGACCCTGTTTTAACTAACTGGGATTTAGAAAGTAGAAATACATTCGTAAACGAACCATTTTTATGTAAAACAATCAGTGACGAGTGAATACAACAAAAATAAACTAGTAATTCAAATAATGATGTATGATATAGATTTCTAAAGTACGCTACAAGACAGTATATATAATATACTGCAAGTTTACTTAGGCCTAATAAATCTATGTCAACAGTCTCTTTTTTACTTCCTCCATTTGTTTTCCAGTTATTGCTTCATCCAAGATTATTACTCTAGTATAAACCATACATGGACGTCAATGTTCGTAGTTATGTAAAAAACTTAATTTTCTCAGTATTTATTTTGCCATTTAAATTCTAAATTTGAAAATATTTTGCGCTTTTCAGGGCACAATGACAGCTGTTAGCTAATTTCTAGGTGTGTGTATGATTTAAAAAAAGTACCTTTCAAAAGTCATAAGCTATAATATTATTGTTTTTATTATTCCTCTCCTTAACTCTGTAGCTACACTGTTACTCAGCAAGCTTTGCATAGCTGAAATGTTATCTGTTAAATAACTAACATAAGATCATATGGAGAGTACATTTATTTTTGATGATATCTATTTTTAAAAACTTAAAAAGTTGGACTCGCATGCCGAAACACATTCATGATCAAAACCAATATATTTTATCTGGCTGTGTGTTTAGGGTCATTGTCCTGCTATAAGTAAAAAAGCATTCTTAAATTCCTCTGTTCAACTAACTTCTTTGTCCTTGTGAAAGATAATCATACCTGCAGCATGATAGTGCCAGCATGTGTCATCATGGGGGCGCATAGTGATCTGCCTCCATACATGATGTTGCACACTCAGCCCATAGAGCCTGATTTGGTCTTATCTTAGCAGATGCCTTTTACTTTTGCTGGATCTCATACACAAAGCATTACAACTTTATATGGTAATTCTTCTTCTGTTTTTCACCTTGCCCAGACTAGTGGCGTACACAACTAACAGATTTGATATATTCCCCAACCCCATAGTTTTCCAAAAAAGAAAACCTAAAGCATATTACTTTCACTTTTTTACGTATTACTTTCACTTTCACTTATTGTTATTACTGTATATCACATTAAACCTCAGCAAAACAAGTGAAATTGAAATGAAAAAGTCCAGAATTCGATTATAATATTAACTCCAAAATAGATTAAATCCAGTCATTTATTTTTTATTTTTTTATGTCTTTAGAACTGCCCAAAACTAAATGCATTGATTAAGTGAGAATGCTATTTCCAAATCAGCTTCAACTTTCTGCACAGTACTGCTCTGTTTTGATTGTTTCGAAAAAGAAAAGGAAAAAAAAGAACATCTTCAATCTGGGACTAATTTTATTTTAAACTGCAGTGACTGATCTATCTTTTTTCCTTTTTTTCAGGAATGGGTATTTCTCCAACAGTCAAAGATCAGGTGTCACAAGCAGAAATAAGAAAAATTTAGTTTTTCAATTTTTTATTCATGTCATACATTGAGACAAATTTACACAAAATGTATTATAGATTGATAACTATTTATGTTATATAAAATACAGTTTTATATTGAGTGTTTTTGCTATATGTCATTTGTTACATTTTGGCCTCTCAGTCACTCATAACAGTGGAATTAAATTTGATTCAACATTAACTTTAATGACAAATTGCACAGAAATCAATCACTCTTCTGCTGCTTCATATTTCAGGATGGCGGTGAAGTTGGTGCCTATTTCTAGGCAGGTTACAGCCTGGAGAAATTGCCACTCCATTGCAAAGCAACACAAAGACATACAACCATACACACTGAATCACTCTAAAGCGATTTAGAAATGCCAATTAACCTAACAGTCATGTTTTCGGACTGCTGGAGGAAACCAGAATACCAGGAGAGCACCTATGTATGAACGGGGAGAACCAGCTAACACCATGCAGAAAGACTATTGGTCGAAAATTAAACACAATACCTTTTTGCTGTAAGACAACAGAGCAAATAATTGCTCCACCTTGCAGCCAAGTATGGTATTTTATTTAGTATTAATAAGAAAACATGTCCATTGAGACCCCTCTCATTTCCACCGAACACCACATACTGTAACTTTTCTTTTAAACCTTTGTGTAACCACATTAGTAGTAATTTGACAGGTGAGCGACATGAAAGGAGGGGTAACAAGATAGATGTCAAGTTAACGTTTTGCAAACCTTTAGCAAAAAGTAGAATACTTGAAGTAAATTCTATTAAGAATACTTAAGTATAAACATAAGTTTATAGAGTATACCGAACAATGTACTTTTAGTGTACTTGAAGTATTACTAAAGTAATTCTTCTTCAAACTAAATTGGTACATTTTTAAACAATAGTATAGTCAAGTACACTTGACTATACTATTGTTAAGTATATGAAATATAGTTTAGATTAAGTCAACTCTAAGTGCACTGCCTGATTTTAAGTATGAAATTAGTGCACTTTTAGTATACTCGAATAAACTACTTTTTGCTAAGGGAAACTCAGAAGAGCTTTACTGTTATTTCCAAACACAACATATATTTTCTTTGAATGAACAAAAAGTGGAAAAAATAAAACATTTTATTGTGTGTTTTATGTATATTTCCATCACAATATATAATATAATTATGGAATTTTATTATATCCATTGACGTTTAATGTAACAACATATTGTGACGAAGTAGAACAAATCAGAATATTTCTAAAAATAAAAAATATATATCATAACCAAATGTGACTGTAATTAAAGAACCCGCCATAAACAGTGTAGGCCTCAACATTGGCGAAAACTTTCTCCTTCCTTGCAGTGAATAATTTCATTCTGCCCCCCCACTAAAGAACACCTCACAATCAAAACAAATCGACCACGCGTGCTTTTCCCGCAGCAATGACGTCATTTGGCCCCTCCCCTTCCCCCGTCTCTCCAAGTAAACAGAAAACGAGCGAGGAAAGCGCTCGTGCGGCAGCCGCCGTAACAAGAGCTTGAAATGAGAAATTTGCGATAAGGTTTACATGTTTTACCCGCCGCATCATGCGCGTGTTGTTTTTTTTAGTTTTTTAAGGGTTTTCAGTGCTTGCAGCTGACTCGTTCTGGTGTTCGATAATGAAGGGAGAGGCGGAAGTGAAGTCATTTGACAGAACCGTCCATGTTATTATTGTTATTTTGGTAGCCCTGTGATGAGACGAGCTGGGGAGCCGTTTGCTCTCGGAGACAGCGAGCTTTCACGGCACAGCAGGCCTCTCCGGACCCACACCACACCTTGCTACCAACACCTCACTGACCCGGAGACAGGAGCCTCGCTGGCGGCTGGGGGGGAGAGGAGGAGGAGGAGGAGGAGGAGGTGAAGACCCAGCTTCAGCTCGGCTCCTACGCTCCCAAAAATAAAACGGCGACCAAAAAAAATCTGCCCGAAAAGCGGCTCCCGTTGGTTCCGTCTGTAAGCAGGAAGGTACCGACGCAGACATGAACGGTATCAGCAAGAGCCGGTTCGAGGTAATGACACAGGGAGGGAAATGGACCACCAACGGTTAAACTGTTTGTCTCCAGCAGGGAGGCTTGTATAAGCAAACTGTGTTGGGATTGTGTGTGTGTGTGAGCGTGTGCGTGGGGCTTTGCTCCTAATTTGTACACGCAGTCATGAGCTGAGGCGTTTTGTTGGTCAAGGGTAATCCTGTAGTTGTCCTCCCGCAGCAGCAGACGGAGCAATGGGGACTGCGGGACAGACAGCAGGGCTGTGGCTGGCTCTACTGTCAATATATCAGGCTCTGTCCCCTGTAGTTACACTTCTGTCTGCTGTGAGCTGCAGCCTCCATGTAGATCTCACCCTGATTGGGCAGGATAAATCTCACCCCCCCCTCAGAAAATACATACATGTCATGAGGGACAGAGCCTGCTGAGGGCATTAGTAAACTGAGCTGCTCTCTCTTATCCCCAGGGTCAGCAGGGGGCCCCATGAGCTTTTCACTTTTGACATAATTAAAACCTCAAGACTTCAGAATTCTGACTAAAAACTCAACCTGTTATTTAGAATTACATTGAAGCAAATAGTTAAAGATCTGTGTATGCACCATGATGCTCTATCTCTCCGGTTCTTTTTCCTGAAAAGAGATCACCTGGGACAAACTCTTTAAATAACATTTCATAATTTGTATGTATTAAATAACCAGGAGACATGACAACAGATTCTGATAGAAATTGTAATCTTACTCTGATCAGAGAAAAAGCTTAGGGTTACAGAATGGCAGCAGCTCACCTCTCAGGAAGTGGCCCCGATTAGCAGTTAAAAGAGCGTTTTATACATCTCCAGTTTGCCACATCATCATATTTTACATCATACACGTTAGCAGATGATTAAACATCCAAGGCTCCAGCCTTATCAAAAAAGGACGCCGCTCTCATTCCCTTTCTAAATCTTTGCCACGTACAAAATAAAGATTATAACTGTATATCCAGACAGAGGAATTGTTCTTATTAGATTAAAACGTCAGTTCTGACGCGCAACAGGCAGCCCATACCAGGGTGTGATGAACTCACACATCTTCAATGATAATTATCCTAACAACTTGGAGTTGTTTGATCTGATACCTCTCTACAGCAGCCATTAGCTGGGCAACATCAGAGAATCTACTATACACTTTCACTCATACCTAAGGGCATTTTTAAAACAAGCATGCATGCACTTTCCACAGGACTGATGGAAGATGCATAGCTTCTTGTTGCAAATGCCGAAGGACCTAAGCTTCCTTAGAAAGTGTGGTCTGCTGTGTTCCTTCTTGTAGACAGCGGCAGTTGAGTCTGCTGTTGAGTTTGTTTTCCAGTTGAGCACCAAGGTGATTATACTCCTCCACCCACTTCAGCCTTTTCTCTCATAATGTTAATAGGATTTTAATTGTTCGGTTTCTTCTGAAATCTACAGTCATCTCCCTTGTTTTGTTCACATTCAGGATCAGAGGATTGTTTCCACACGGTGCCGCTTTGTCTAAATGACAGTAGGTTTGTTTCAGCAGGTGTATGATGGCATCTTCAGCTCCAATTCAACAGCATGAAGCAAAGAAATAGCAAAGATAGAAATTAAACTTTATTGATCTCACAATGGAGAAATTAATTCTGTGCATTTAACCTATCCCCTTTGGGGAGCAGTGGGCTGCTCTTGTAACCGTCTCAGAGCACAAGCGCACTGCTCTAACCCACTAGGCCAACACTCCCCCATTAAAGGAGAACATGGATCAGACATAACAGGCTACTACATGGATAGCGCCATCTTAAATGCTTCCTCAGGAACCTAGAGTGGAGGCTGTTGCGATCGAACAAACAAACAGGCCTTCAGGACTCCGGGGCTGACACCATCAGGACCTGCTGACTTATTACGATTCAGTTGCCTCTTTATTTGACTCTTTGAGGCAGACAGGTGAAAGGTGGAGGGAGCAGCGCCATGTTGCGATTTGGCTGAGATCAAATTCGTAGAAGCAGGAGGGCCCTTGGCAGATGTGGAAGATGAAACATTTGAGGTGTGAGGGAAGCTTTGGGTCAAAGGAGGATGAGATGTCCATTTGACTGTGGGCAAGAGAGAAAGATGCTAAGCCTGTTCCTGAAATGGATCTATTAAAGAATGTATTCAGTTCATTGCCTCCATCCAGATTTTCATTTGCCTGATGATCCTTCTGCTTGAAGCCTGTGATTTTCCTCATCCCTGACCACACATCGCTTATATTGTTCTTCTGGAGCTTGCTTTCCAGCCTCTTCCCGTATGCCGCCTTGTTTTTTCTCATATGCTTCTGTATATTTCTCAATAATCCTTTTTTTATAGATTTAAATGCCTGTTAAAGCTACCCAAGCTAATTTAAGGGTAAAGCAATCTAACTTAAATTGGTTGGTGAGCTACGTTGTCTTTCCAAAACTTAAAATCATAGATCTATCTGCTGCCTTGCTCTGCTAATGCTTAAGGCAATGTTAGCATGAAGGGCTAACTTTCCTTGAACTTAGAGCTCTGTGTGTCACCGTTGCTCTTTGAAATGTGGCCCATTGTCGCCAATGTAGCTTTCAGAACTCTCCTATCTCCATAACTCTGTTCTGTCTGGGTGTTCTAGTGGGTTGAGATCAGGGCTCTTGGCTTATTTGCACCAAGCTCTCTCATCCACGTCTTTATGGAGCCAATATTTACTACCCCAGTTAGTCAGTCAGGGGCCCTTGGACCTTTTTTAACTTTACCTCACTATACAGGACTAATGAACACATCTCCACTCTTCTAGAGCTCGCTTTAAGCCACAGCATGCAAGTTTTGGCATTACACTTGGTGATGGAGGCCTTGGATCCAGCTGCTTGGTCTTAACAACTCATTTCACAAAACATTGCTTTGAATTCTTCATGTGCTAATCTTAAGGCTACATGAAGTTAGGTGGTATGTAGCCTTTCCAAATGTTTGTAGGGACAGTCAAGGTGCTTGTTTTTGTTTACCTGTAGCTCTGAAAGTGATTAGAACACCTGATTTGAATTATGTGGATGGTGAGTGAACATCGTGTATATCAGAGTAACACAAGTGGTGTTATAATGGGTTATCTGACCCAGCAGCTAGCTCCACAAGAAAGGCTTGTTATTGAAAGTGTATTGGTGCTCAGCATTGATCTTTGCTGAGTATGTTACACTCTCCGTTGTAAATACTGCATGACAGAGAGCCAGTCACAGCCAAGCACGTGTCTGCATGAAGTGGAGCAGTGTCTTCAGACTGATCTACAAACTGGTTAGTTAAATACAGCGCTACAGACTTGAGGGACGCAGACCCCATGACACGCTCCATTCGACACACTGGATGTTTTCAATTCACCTACACAAAATCCAGTGTAACAGGGAAGTAGAACAAAATGCAAGCTTTCAGTCTTCTTATGAAACATGTTCCCTCTCAGCTTTTGACTCCACATGGTGTTCAGTCTTTATGATGCCGCGTCTGACTGGCGGTGAGCACAGCTTTATCTGAGGTGGGGTTCACACATTGCTGAGATTCTTCAGGGTTTGACTTGATGGTACTTGACTTTATCAGCCGGGTGTGCTCACATGCTCAATGCCAGTGAATCAGAACACACGGTGTTGGTGTTCTTACATGAAAAATCAGTGTGTGGTGGAAAATAGAAATGTGGGCTGGTTAGGAAAGAGCAGGCCAGCTCTCTGACTACTAGATGCCTGAGACATCTTGTAGCTGGTTTGATTAAGAAGGCAGGACACAATGCAACTTTATTATTTTTAAAACATTTTCAGGTGGCCCAAGTTAAACGGTTGTTTACACTGCTGCAGCCTTTGTAGGAACAGAGATATATCTCCATGGTTTTGGATTCTGCTTTGCTGTTATAAACAAACGAAAGGATGCTAAAAGGAGGTTCATGTAGCTTTTTTTATTGCTACTGCTGCAGCTTGCATGCTCAATATAATAGGTTCTCTGCAAAGCCAGTGGCAATGCATTCGGCTGTATTTCCATAAATGGAAAAGTCTTTAACATTTGGAAAAAATAAACTAAACTTCACCTGGATATTTTATATCGATGATGCAGTTGATTCCGTTTAATTTGAATCTGTGTATGATTGAGGCGTCTTTACTGGATATTTTGGATGTAAATTACATTTTTTGTTTTTGTTTAGTGTTCTTCAAATGGTATTTGTGGCAAATCAGTTCTGAACAAAACAACTAAAGTGTATTAAAGTTTTAGTTCATAAGTTTATGTCAAAGAAGCGGGAATGTGTTAACGAGGTGGACGTAAAGATTTTCCCTGTTGAGGGATTCATAACTTTCTTCATTCTGTGCAATCTATTTTTTTTTTCCTACAACTTTTTTTTTTACATTTCATAAAATGAAAAAAATGAAACCTAGTATCTAATCCTAGTTAGTAGTTTCTAATAATTATTTCACCCAACTTTCTCTGAGATAAAACAAGTGTTCAACTTCAGTTCTTCTCTGGATCCTAAAATATTTCTGGATTTGATGCGCTACTGCTCGTCTTTTTACACCTTCCTCCAGTGATGTTCCAGAGTAAGGCTGGATCACTTATGGCTGCTTATTTGTGTTCTTAAGCTTGTTCCTCAGAAATTTTCTCCCCATTCTCTTTTTTTTTTCTTCTGACCATTTAAAGATTACCTGCCACAGAAAACTTATCTCCACCGCAGCATACTGTCATCACCGTTTCAGACTTTGAGGACAGTAATAAGGTTATTTTCAGCTCCATGTTTCCTCCGTAGCTGCTGGATGGATCAAGATCACACAGTTCAATCTGAGAATGTGGTGTCTGCTCCTAAATGTGCTAAGCGTTGATCAGGAGTCAGTTCTCTCTTTCTCAGCAGGCTGTCATGAAACTTTTAATCAATGTTATGACTTTCTTCTTTCAACTGTGTCATAAAAATCGGACAGTGGAGAACTGCAGAGAGAAGAGGCTCCTTTTTCACTATCATCCTCTGAATCTCATTATGGAGACTTTTCATAGCCCATTCTCATTTTACTTTTTTTGCTAAAGAGCTCCATAAAAAAAGCATTTTGATGTGTTCACTGCTTTTTGAGATTTAAGATCTAAGTCGTTAGCAAAGAGCTGTTTTGTCCGATGGTGGTTTTCATGTCAAAATGTGACAAAAGTTTAGGCTGTTTAAAAACCATTTCTAGACGCAGTGTAAAAGATATCTGCAAAATGATATATCTTTCAAAATGTGTTCCATTCTTATCACAAAGCTCAAGGTGTTTTGTTTATATTTTTCTTTAAAAAGGCCAGCAAAAGCAAGTAGATATATTTTAAATAGAATGGAAGCAGTTTTAGCTAAGGTGATGTGCCCTGGTTGTTTTCCACCACACACCCTGTTTTACATTCAACGTTTAATGTGTGAGTGCATCTTCTGAAAGTTAACTTTTTAAAAATTGCTTTCCTCTTTTAACTATTTGATAAAGGTCTGATTATTAAGGATTACCATTAGGGAGTTGCCACGTGTGTCTTAGTTCTTTAATTCATACCTTCAATGCTCAAACTGTCAATGGATAGCCTAAGCATTTGTTCTACTTTTTTAATTTTCAGATGATCCATATAAAATACTCCACAGGAGTATTTGGACTGTTTTGCCGCATAATGCCTATTCATGCATATTTCATCCAAACAAATAATTGTAATGGCAGCAGTTTGCTGCTATGTGGGGTTTAGAATGTGTATAACCTTTATCTGACCCTGGTTATACAGTATGAGATGGAACAGAAGTGATTGTTAAGAAGAACATGATGTGTTTCCATTTTAAAGCCCTTTTTCAAAAATAAGAATATGAAACTAGAAACCATATTTATTTATATGACTATTTATGTCTGTACATTCAGTCACTGATTGGCATGGTATATGTTGGTACAATGACACACAGTCATACCCTGTTTACTTAATATGTGACCTATGGAGGCAATTGTTAGCCCCTGTTTATATTTAGAGGTAACTTGATGATGGAAATCCTCCATCAGGTAGGAGCTAGAAGTTTTCTAGAAGCTTAATATTGGCACACTGCAGTGGTTGGTGCTTGTAGTCTGTGTAAAGATGCATTTTAGAAACATGAAGCTGCAGAAGTGTGAGCTGTGATGAAGTGCCTTGAATGTGTTTAGATATTTGCAGTATCTTTGCAGGTTTTGTTTTTATCATAGTAGAGCTGTTAACAGTCAAACCAGCTTAGTTAATATTTTTCTAAACCAAACTAGACAACTCCCTGTCCTTTGTCTTTTTGACCTCTTAAATGTAACCTTTCGTTTCCTTGTTTGTCCCATAGTTCTTCTTTTCACTCTCTGGTTTTCACCATAAAACGATTCGGAATGTTTTTGGTCTCTTTAGTTCAGTTTCTTTTTCTGTCTCATCTCTGCTTCCCCTTTTAATCCTCTCTTTCCTCTCCACTGCTTTTTTATGACGAAGAGGCTGCATGCCTACCCCCCCTCCCTGCATGGAACCCTCATTCCTCCTGCACCATGATCACTCTGCTTCCCTTTGTTTTCCTGCTTGCATGTCACACAGCGGGGAGTCCTCCACATTAGATCCACCCGCTGACTCCTTTAGGATCTGAGCGTGTCGCTCAGAGGATGTGCATGTGCCTGCAGGGGCACTGTGATTCTGGGTGTTTGCCTTAATCTAAATTCATAGACCTAGCTCGATTGAGAACACTCTGAATTCATGCCTCAGCCAGAACGATTGGGCTTGAATAACCTAGGAATGTGTGTGAGTGTGTCACTCAGCAGATGGCCAGACATCCAGTGAGTAGGCTAATTGAGATAAGCATGCCAACAACCTGACCAGGCCGACTGAATTATAATCTTTCAGGGTGTGGACATGAGAAGCCAAATGTGTCTCTGGTGTGCTCATTAGCATACGTTAGAGATGTGATGGCTCAGTTGTGGCTGCCTGATGTAAACAAGTTGTAGGCCTCTACGTCTGTTGATGTTTGGGGCTCTTGGCTTCTGCCCCATCATGTGCCTGGATTCTCTGACGTTTTTTAATCAGCTTGTTAAACTTGCAGTACACTTAACTTTTATTGTTATTCATCTTGTGTCTCTGCAGGTGTTCTCAAACAGCGATGAAGCCCCAATTAACAAGAAGCTCCCCAAAGAGCTCCTTCTCAGGTAGGCTTGAAAACACAGCAGTAATGCAAAACTCTCAGACGCAAAATTAATGAAATGGATGTTTGTTCTATTTTTCTTTATGTATGATGTATTTCAACCCCTTGGGCTGAAATTGCTAGACTTGTGACCCACAGGCCAATATTTTACAACACACAAGCTTCTCACGCTCCATAAATCTGGCGCGTGCCGATCTTCCCAGGGTTATTTGTATGCTCCATAAGTGTTTGCTTATATCTTGGAAAGAGGCGCCCCTGCAGGTACCCCCATCTGATACACGGTGGTATTTCTGTGTTTGTGCCACACTTGATTGTGTGTGCATGTGTGAAACACTCTCGAGGCCTATGTGGGCTGTATATCTCTGTGAGAGAGGGTGCTATAAATAGTTTGTCTTTGCTTGTGGGGAATTCCGCAGTGCTGTGCTCCTCTGCTTCTCCAAAGCTGCTAAAGGTCCCCCCCCTCCTCTCCCATTAGCACCATTACACTTTTACTGGACCCACAGAATAGCATGCGCTCTCCAGCTACAACACATGACCCACTGTCACATGTGTCATATTGAGATGGTTACACAACATCAGCTGTGAGGAGGACTCATTGTGACAGCGGTACATCCTTGTTTGGGAATCCTGGGTTATTGAATCTTTTGGGGTTATTTGTTTTCCCCGATGTATTTCCACTGTAGTTTGAAACAGTTTCATAAGAGTAGAAGAATAAAGTTGTCAGAATAAAGAATAAAGTTTGAATGGCTTATGGCGATGATTTTGAGTTAGTGGAACAAATAATAAACATTGAGCAACAACATCAATTAAATGTATCGTTACCATTAGATAGAAACTACGGAGGTATATTGCATTCAACAAAAAAAAAAAGAAAAAAGGCATTTGTCTGTTTTTCTGAAATATGATATTTTTCTACAAAAATAAACAGTTTTCTTCAATTAAGGAGATAATTTTTACTAAATAAATATTGATGTTCTGTTTTTCTGAATTAAAAAGAAAACTCTGCTGTGATTTAAAAAATAATAATGATAATAACTGACATTTATTGATCTTTACTTGTGCATTTAACCATCCCTTTGTGGAGCAGTTGGCTGCCATTGTGGGGCGCCTGTGAAGCAGTGTGGGTTTAAGGGTCTTGCTCGGGGACCCAGAGTGAGACAATGATTTAGACCATCGTATGCCTGACGTACGAAAAATCTGGCAAAAACGAGGGCATACGTTAGATCTGTTATGAGTAAGTTTTGTATAAGTCATGAGCACGCTGAAACACGCTGGCTCGCGTCAACATAAGACAAGTACGTTGGGAAATTTTTAGCATGCTCAAAATTTCTCGATTTTGCCAGTGTACGCCATATATGGCGCATAAGTTACAGGTAAGTTATCCGATTGTTGACATACGTTAAGTGTAAGTTACCAGTGGTGTCAAAAGTAAACACATTTGTTACTTAAGTAGAAGTATAGATACTGCAGTTTAAAAACACTCTGGTAAAAGTTGAAGTATCAACTTGACCTCTTTACTCAAGTAAAAGTGAAAAAGTATTTGCTCCAAAAACTACTTAAAGTATAAAAGTATAAAGTGACGTTTTAAAAAAACAGCCAGATGCCACTATATGAATTAAAAGCTAAATTTTTCGGCTATTTTGAAAAATTCTTTGAGATAGGGCCAAGGATGAGTGAGGTCATGTTGGTCTTCATCTCCCGATACGCTCTTGCCTGTTTCCGACCTTTCAGACATCTCGACATCTTTTTCTGAATCCTATATTGTAGCATGGCATAGACAATTCACGTTTGCAGTTTGAAGAACACCTGCTTGCTTCTGATGATTTCCTTTAGCTAACCAATGAGTGTTTGCGTTATATGACTCATCTAATTACACTAGTTTTCACTAGATGTGGATGGCACCAATGATCTGCATTGGATGGAGCACATGACATGAAATAGATATTTATAAACAATAAACCGAAGCAAAGAGTAACGAGTAACGTTTGTTTTAAAAATGTAAGGAATAGAAAGTACAGATACTTGTGTGAAACTGTAATGAGTAGACGTCAGAAGTAGGAAGAAAAATAACTAATGGAGTAAAGTATAGATACCTAAAAAGTGTACTTAAGTACAGTAATGAAGTACTTGTACTTCGTTACTTGACACCTCTGTAAGTTACTCATAAGTTGTGGTGTCTAGGTTATCCAAAACCTATGAGTAACGTGTGCATAACTTGTACATAATTTATGAAGAACTTATCTCCAATGCATATCAACATATTTGACCTTTTCCGGACCTCCATATTTGACCTTTTCTACTATTTAAAGGCGTATTTGCAGCAATTTGGTATAAAAGGGGGTTNGCACATGACGTGAAATAGATATTTATAAACATTAAACCGAAGCAAAGAGTAACCAGTAACGTTTGTTTTAAAAATGTAAGGAATAGAAAGTACAGATACTTGTGTGAAACTGTAATGAGTAAAAGTCAGAAGTAGGAAGAAAAATAACTAATGGAGTAAAGTATAGATACCTAAAAAGTGTAGTTAAGTACAGTAGTGAACTACTTGTACTTCGTTACTTGACACCTCTGTAAGTTACTCATAAGTTGTGGTGTCAAGGTTATCCAAAACCTATGAGTAACGTGTGCATAACTTGTACATAATTTATGAAGAACTTATCTCCAACGCATATCAACATATTTGACCTTTTCCAGACCTCCATATTTGACCTTTTCTACTATTTAAAGGGTATTTGCAGCAATTTGGTATAAAAGGGGGTTCACAGGAAGTAACAGTCAGTACTCCTCCAGACTTCATCCCCATTCTAGGGAGAACATGAAGGTGAGTGTGATGAATCCTCCCTGCGTTTACAGCCACGGCCAAGACAAGCAAACCTCCTAGCAGACAAGTCAAACCAGCAGCTCAAACAAATCTTTTTATGCAGACCGGGTGCCTCCGGGCTTATCGCTGCTCCCCTCAGGACACTGGCCTGTGCATCATTTCATGGGCATTACAGTGCTGTGCGTTATGTATAAGTTAGGCTGTCGTTGGGCATAAGTTCTGGACTCGTTATTAACACGCTATGTATGCGCCCAAAATTGAAAAAAATATATAGAAAGTTCAAAGTATGCCAGCATTTTAGGAGATACTCGGACGTTGGGCATACGCTGTCTAAATCTGCAAGATGTGACGCGGCCCTCAGGACCACAGGATTCCAAGCTCTATGCCCTAACCACTAGGCTGCCACTCCCCAGTTTCATAGTTTATGATCTGTTACTGTTGGCATTGCAAATTCTAAGCTCTAGATGCCTTCACAGAAGCTTCAGCATGTCCTGTGTGTTGAATTTAATTAATATTCACTTCCATTTGGGATTGACACACTGGGAAATTTCTTAGTTATGTAGAAGTGATCTTTCTCCCTTCCCTCCTCTTCTCCTTACAGTTTATCTTTTTAATTCAGAAAACAGGCTTTTTGTTTCATTTTTGTAAAGAAATATATAAATAAATTCAGAATAAAATACCAATTTATTTATTTTTTTCAGGCGAATGGAATACAACTCCTATAAGAAACACTATAGGATATCAACTTGTAAAATCAGGAGGATCAGAGGAGTTTGATCAGGCTTCACTGGTGACAGGATAATGGAAACTCAAAGATATGACCTTATTTCAAACAGTGAACCTCCATACATACCTGGTACATTGCATTTGACTGATAACAGCGCACTGTAAAGCTTTTTACTGTTGAAAGAAAACTCAAATATCTCTGTTTTTATTATCAGTAAGGTGTTTTAAATAGCTCAGAGAGAGGACAAAAATATCAAAAAAACGGGCCTGTTAGCTGGAACTATAGACTTAGATGACTTCTCTTTTTTTTTTTCTTCATTTCTATTCTTTTGCTCTTCCAGTTTTCTTCTCGTCTCTCTGCTTGTCTTTTTTGGCTTACAGAGGGCTGAGCTGTTTGAAACTAAATGCATGTTTCATAGATTACAAGAAAATTTCATATGTCCTAGCAAATTTATTTTAATTTTTTTTTTTTAGATTTTAACCTATTTATCTCGAGAAGCATTTTAGGAATCCTTAAAATTGGGACTGTATTCTCTAAGGCAGAAGGGGATAGTCTGCAAATTAATTGTTTTTTTGTTTTTTTTTGTTAGATGGATTCCAGCAGCGCAATCATCTCAAATATAGAAGATTGAAGCCTCTAGGGAAAAAAATAAACCAACAAAACCTGCCCACTACTGTGTTACAAACACTCATTAAGGCCAACCTGTACTGTTGATTAACTATTAGGAGTGTAAATCACTAGCTTTATCATCATACAGCGTTCTATCATTTTGTTTGGTATTATGATATAATGTTTGCTGATATCCCGACCTCTATCACTTCAGGAGACTAATTGATATGTTTTGAAAAGGTCTGCCCATCTAACAAGATTATTACCTAACACCAAAAAAAGATGACGATGTACATACATTTTTTCGTGTTACACACTGGATATTTTGACGTGAGTGTATGGTTACATCACTGCTAACAATGCTAACTGCTAATTTACCATGCAGCTTTGTTTGTTTTTTTTTTTTGTTTTTTTCTGTCAGTGATTAATAACCACTCAACCTAGAAAAAAATAAAAGTAATATTTAAATATAATAAAAATATAAATATAATAATACTGTAAACTGTATTTTTAAAGAAAATGTTAATTTTATGGTCAGAACAAATTTTCAAAACGCTTAAAAAAACAAAAATGCTTTAAAGAGGATCTGTGGTGCTGTAGTCGGTGGAATCCGTTTAGCACCATAAAGAAACTAAAAGATCCAAAAAAAAGAAACTCCTAAACTTCAATCCAATGAAATTACGACTGGTGATAAACATCTCTGAAAGCATATAGTATCCAATGTTCAGGGTTTAGGTGTGAGGTGAAGCACAGTTAGAGCTAAATGCCTGATTTCTGAGGTTTGTTTTTGTGTTCTTCAGCTGGTGCATGAAAAACGGCTGTCTTTGTGTGCTGTGCATGTACACTGTGAAAAACAGCTGTGATCTAAAAGAACTGAGGGGTCCTGGAGGAGAGCGTTCGAGCTGTTCGTGGTCTCCTATGCAGAAGCGCTGACTCAGCATGCTCGCCACCAGCAGCACCCAAATTTATGTCTGAGCTGTTGCTGTAGCAACGGGCTCTTATCTAGCCATGCTTTAAGTGTCAGGTGTTTATTTTTTCTCCATCAGTGATGATCCTATACTATTAAGATCCTGTCTAAAAAAAAAATAGACCAAAAAGGGCCGAATTTAACAAAGCATTCATAGAACCCAAACTGATTGTTTTTTTTCTCCTGTAAAATCAGTAGATTAGAGGTTTCTTTTGTGCAGCGAGGTGGTAAAGCCAGTTCTTAAAGATGCCAGGGTGTTGTGCCTCTGAATGTAGCTTTACTCTGTAATGATGATATTTATAATTGAACTTTATTGATCTCATATTGGAGAAATTGACCTCTGCATTTAACCCATCCCCTTGGGGAGCAGTGGGCTGCCATTGTGGGGCACCAGGGGAGCAGTGCGTTTTAATTCTGTCTATCAACTATCAATTGTTTCAACTATACATTGTCACAGCGATGCAAAAGTATTCCTACTGTTGTTTCACATTTTCTCAAATCCTACCTGAAATAAAACAAAATATGTAATTGTGACATTATTGCAAAAAAATTATATCTGTTATGTTTAAACCACATTTTACAGCAAATTTTCTTTTATATAATTACATGATGATCCTATTGCTCTTTGTTAGTCCTTTCAAAGTAAAGACAGTTATGCGTCCATTCAGCTTCCCGAACATATTAAGTAAATGCAGTGCATAAATGTTTAACTTATGCTTGAATTGTAGGATGCTTTCAAATATCTCGTGCAAACTGTCCTTTGCGTACACATTGCGTGTATAGTTATAAATAGTGAAGTTGTAATGCTGACTGTGATCGATGTGTTGCTGTCAGTTTTTTTAGGTCTTAAGACGCCTATTTCAATGTTATTGGTAAAAACACAGATGCAAAGCTTGGAGCATTGATAGTTAGTGATTTTCAGAGGTAGAGTGAGATCTGTTTTAAATCTAAGTATCAGCCAATCACCAAGCTTCCAAACTTAAGGAAATCGAGCCCAGTCGGTCATGCATCACATTGTTTAGCATGTTCTCCTACCTGAGCTGTGGGTCTATGACTCCTCCAGATTTCCCATGGGTCTCCTGACAGTTCCTCTGATCAGTACTTTATGTTCTGATGCCAAATCGAGCAGCGCCTCCAATGTTCAAGCTAGATGGTGTTTTATCTAACCTTATTTTCCTTAAAACGTGTCTTTTTGATGCTGTTTGTTCTCCAATGGTCCATAACAAACCTCCACTGCCTTAACAGATCAGTTGGTTTTACACTGAAATCCTCTTAAACTACACGCAGGCAGACTCGGTTTACTATCATAGACATCTTTGAAAGTTTAGGACAACCACTACTGCTTTGTATGTCTGATTGATTGTTTTCCTTTCTGTGTTTAATAACTGGACACTGTGGGTAGTAAAAAGCCTCTCTGACATTTAATAGAAAGCCAGACTGTATTTGATTAGAACAGACAGCCTATTAATGGTCATTGTCATGGCTATTTACCAGTTATTAGAAGAGCGATCGATGATGGTTGGCCGCTCTGATGGCTGTGTTTGCATGTTCCAGTGAAGTTGTTTGTGTGAAAGCCCATATCTGGGTTGGCTGTGAACTTAAAGCAGTCCTATATACCACTTGTGTGGTTTAACTTAGTGAAACAAGACTCTGGTATAGATCCCACAGACATGTCTGAACATGTCCTAGCCCAACACACATTAGAACACCCAGCCCCTCTGTCTGTACTTTAAATGAGAGAAACAATGGGCAGCTAGTGTTGCTGGGGCTTAAAGGCTCCAGTTGTACTTTAAACCCTGGCACCATAACAGCTCTGTCATTTGTATACATCCTTAATTAACATCAGTTACGGTCAGCTTGAACATGCAGTGTAATTAGTGCCAACCAGGACAGCATATAGGTATCTGAGTAGGTGTCTGTATTCTGGCTCATTTCTATCTCTTGTATGTGCAAATACCGCCTGTGGCCGAGCTTGTCGGAGTGCCAGAGATTACTCATTGGCAGATTAATGGATTGAGCTGACCCAGTAGCCGGCTGCATGCAGCCCATTGTGGCTGACATGCCCCCAGTTCAAACACCGCCTGATGTGGGGCTCTCCTGCTGCCAATCCAACAGCTTTTCTCCTATTTTATCTTGGAAACATGATTTCAGATGTCAGTTGCTTTGATGATATGACAAAAAGCTCGGGGTGACTGTTCAGAGTCACTCATCAGTCTTATTGTTTAGTAGCAGTGAATAATCAGCTCAGTTCTTGTGATTTCATTGACACAGTCAGAACATAGAATTAGCTGCTCTGTTTTTAAGAAAAATCCATCTGTAGCTACTAGTGAATTTGAATATCAAACTCAGATTTTATTTTATTATTCTATGTTTTTTTATGGAAGAAAACATCCCACTGATAAAATAAAATAAACTTTATAATAGTTTTTTTCATGAGTAAGTTTTTTGATATTAAAGACCCCAACTGTTTTTTCTGTTTCTTTTTCCAGAATATTCTCCTATCTTGATGTAGTTACACTCTGCAGATGTGCACAGGTGTCAAAGGTAAGCACAAACTCTGAAAATGTTTTTGAAACTGACCTACCAGCCCCTATTCATTCCAAACACTGGAATCATTATTTCTTTGAACACTTTAAACAGTCAGGAATTTACTCAGTTTTTCGATTAAAGTGCCCTCTGCTGGCCTTAAGCAAAATAACAGCACCATAGTAAACCGATAGCTACAGGTTGGTTATTATTCATTGCTAAATTTAGATATTTAGAAAAAGATTGCAAAGTTTTGGCATCAGTTTTTCTTTTAAAAAATCTTTGTTTTTTAAGATGAACACCTATCCTTAACAGCTGTTTACTGTAAATAAAAGTAAAAACTCTATTATTTAATGGAAATATAGGAAAAACATTTAAGGTTCAACACCTTCTTGTTTTTCTTAGGGTTAGATTGTATTTTTATTGTATTTTCATCATAAGCCGCCATAGTTTTATAATACCCAACAATAACCTGTCTCAGCTGGGATTTTTAACATCTTCTCTTTTGAATTGTTATGCAGGTCTCTAACATTAGAGGAAACCCTTTAAGTCATTTAATTTAAGTGATAGTCAAGTCTTTCCAGGTTCTAATTACTTTCTTATTTTAAGCTTTGATTTAAGATTTGGTTTGATTTTGATTTGATCTGTTCAGGATTGTGCCTTTTTCTAGAACCACTTGTGTTTTTTCCTCAGCATTTTAAGTCACTCCTCTTTATATCAAAGTGTGCAAATAACCTAGCAGTGAGGGTGAATAACGATAGTGTTTCTATACCTTAGCATAGCATTTCCATACCTACTTACTTCCTTTTTATTATTATTTGTGTTTTGGTTGACGTTGTGATTTTGCCCCCTACTATACCGCACACTGGAAGGAAGATAATATTTATTGGGGTTTCATCATCTCATTTCCTACAGTAGGCTATGAGTAGTTCATAGAAAATCATAGGAAATCATATTGTTGTCAAAGTATGACAAAAATTACTGAATACTTTCATCTGTGGAAAACGCGGGTTTGGTTTTACGAATAATGATCAATAGTACTTAAATTAAATGATTATATTCCAGTTAGCGAGTAGTGGTGGTACGTGTCCTACACTCCACTGTGATCATTGGTATCATCAGAAAGTAACCAACTGAGGTCACGATGTCATGAAGAAAATGAAACCTTTACTGAAAAGACAAAATCAAAAAAGCTTAGTGTGGAGCACAAATAAAAGGCTTGATTATTATAGTTGTTAAAATGTTGTATTAAAATATTTTGATCATGTTGCTTCTGTTTATTATTGATTATATAGCTATTTTCTATAATGAATTTAATGTACAGTATTACTGCTATTGCTATTACTAATCAGATTTAAATGATTTTGATAATGAAATATACATGAAAGTCGATATATTATGTTGTTGCTTTAGAGTTTAATTGTAGTGTAGTTTGATTTTAATATCATAGTTTTCATATTTTGAAGTGTGTCATTTTATTTCATTTGGTTTGGACTTGTCTGGGATCCAATGATAGTGAAATCGACCATTAAAGTAATCAAGGCATGTCAGATTTTTATCAAGTTGGCAAAAAAATAATTAGGAAAGGGAATATAGATCAGGGTTAAGTAATGCCATGGATTTACGGTAAGTCTGGTTCTCTACTTTCACCAGTCCTCCTCATGCTACAGGAAATGCCTTCCTCTGTCTGACCCACTTCTCTGTCCGTTTTGGTGTGTCCTTCTCAGGCCTGGAATGTCCTGGCTCTAGATGGCAGCAACTGGCAGAAGATCGACTTGTTCAACTTCCAGACAGACATAGAAGTGAGTTTTGTGTTTGAGACTGGTATGTGTGAGCGTTTGTTGGGTAGTGTTATGCAGCCCAAAGTTCAGTGCTGCGATGTTGACTGAGACAACTCAGCTGATCTGCGGTCCTGCTGCCCACTTACATCTCTCTTCCTCTCTCTGTTTGCCCCTGCGTCCCTCAGGGCCGGGTGGTGGAAAACATTTCGAAGCGTTGTGGAGGTTTCCTGAGGCAGCTTAGCCTCAGGGGCTGCCTGAGCGTTGGAGATGCTTCTATGAAGTGAGAGTCCCATTGTCTCTCTGGAACACACTGATTAGATGAGTGTACTTCAGCTTTGATCTTTTTTTTTCATAAAAAAAATAACTCTCTTGTTAATTCATTTACTTGCTGTTTTTTCTCTGTTATTGCAAAGTTTAAGTAGCTTGTACTTGTTGAATCCCAGACAGTTCTACAGGGAGCTTATTTATTTGTGTTTCATTCTTGTTTCCTTTGTACCCACTCAAAAAAAACAACCGTTCTTGTTAAACTGTCTTTTATAATAGGAGCTATTGATTCTATAAAAAGCAGAGATGTAGTACCTGTTTCTACCTCTTAAAATCTTTCAGACTTAGTCTGTGTTTTGTTATATAATTCATTTATTTTTCATGAAATAGACCAACCTACCTTAAAGGTACATTCATGAGGCTTTATGTCAATGTCTTTATTGTGCAGTTGAAGTAAGCCAGTAAATTTTCCAAATTGTATTCTAAAAAATAAAGTGTGGTGCACATTTTTATTCAACATGCTTGATGTTTTGTTGAACTACTAATCTTAGGAATTATAGCTGCTAGTCTTGCAGTGCATGTTTCTATCAGCTTTTTACATCCTCAGATTGAATGTATTGCCCTATCTTTATTCCTGAATGGTTTAGCTTAGCATGACATTGTTTATGAGTATTGATTTTTAAGTGATGCCACTGATTCTCTTACACTACCTTGTTTCACAATAGGGATGATGTAGACTTCTAGTTTACTTGCTCATTTAGTTTCACATGTGGGTCAAAATATTACATTTTTCACTGGTCCTACCAGAACACCACTTCTTTGTCTTTGCCCACTTCCCTACATATATCTTGGCAAACTGCAGTGATTAATTTTTTTTTAGGCATTTCGACTAATTCCCCTTCAGGTTTAGTTATCCACTTCTTTGTGTTGGCTCTTAGGACATTTGCTCAGAACTGCAGAAATATCGAAGTGCTGAACCTGAACGGCTGCACGAAGATCACAGACAGCACCTGCCTCAGCCTCAGCAAGTTTTGCTCCAAGCTCAAACAGTTAGATCTCACCTCCTGCGTCTCCATCACCAACCACTCCCTCAAGGCACTAAGGTATTTGTTCGTCTTAGACCTAGTTTTAAACCCTCACCTCCTCTCCTTAAAGGCCTACACACTTAAATGTTATGCAAACACAATTTTTCTTAAGCTGTTTAGCTAAAATTTTTTTTTTTTTTTTTTTTTTTTTTTATGTTGACCATTGTTTAGTGATGGCTGCAGAATGCTGGAGATGTTAAATCTGTCATGGTGTGACCAGATCACTCGAGATGGCATTGAGGCCCTGGCTAGAGGTTGCACTGCTTTGCGAGCACTTTTCCTCAGAGGCTGCATGCAGGTAAAACGCACAACTACTTCAGTTTCACTTAAGGATAAGGACTCAATAGTCATGTGTATATGTTAGATTTTATACATTCTTTTTTTATGTAATATTGAATGTAAACCCAACAGTTTCTGTCATTTTGTTCTTGTGCCTTTGCTCATGTTTAATTTGCCTCAAACTTGGTGAAGCTATCTCACAAACCTTCAAACTATTATAGATTAATCTCCCTCTTTATGAGAAATGCCATATTTTAAGAATCTTTCACTGCCTACACACATTATGAGTCTCCATTAAAAAATGTGTCTGTTTTAATCCAGCTTGATGACGGCGCACTGAAGCACCTACAGAAGCACTGCCCTGAACTGACCACCATCAATATCCAGTCCTGCACAGTAAGACTAACAGCTAGGATTACCTCAGGAAAATGATGAACTATTAAAACACATTAGAAACCTTTTTTTTTTTTGACTGAATGCTGTTCTAATGTATTTATTATGTCTGATACCACCAGCAAATAACAGATGAAGGCCTGGTCAGCTTGTGCAGGGGATGCCACAAGCTACAGATCCTCTGCATATCTGGCTGCAGTAACATCACTGATGCCTCTCTGACTGCACTGGGACTAAACTGTCCACAACTTAAGTAAGAAACACATTTTCTTTAGTCCAAAATGCATAAAAAGATAAATGATAATTAATTTTGGGTGAGTTTAGACAGAAACTGTCATAAAGTATTTGAGCTGCTTCTCCAATTATTTCTTAGAACTTATGTTTTCTGTTTTCCAAGGATCCTTGAGGCGGCGCGATGTTCCCATGTTACTGATGCTGGGTTCACAGTCCTCGCAAGAGTGAGTATTTTTCCGTTTTTCTTTTTTTTGGGGGGCGGGGGGTGTTGTCACCTGTTTATTACCTGTTAACCTTTACAGATTCCCTCCTTGTAGTCTTTCTGAGTTCTACAACCATTGCTACACAGATTGCAGCATTGATTGATTACAGAAAATTTGGCAATGGTGCCGCATTGGTCTTAGTACTGAAAGAATAACCTCCTTTCCCAGCCACCTCTCTGATTCAGTGTACATGGGTGCCTCACAATCTATGGGATTTCTTCCTGTTTATGTTTCTGTGCCTCCATCATTAGTTTCAGCTTATCTATGGAGAAAAGGAAAACAGCATAGTGCTGAAGGAGCTTTCTGTACTAAAACAGTACTGTGCTCTACTGAAAATAACATCTCTTTGCAATTACTTCAATTTGGTGCAGCCCTGTGTTCATTGTTTTTGGGTAGTAAAGCTTGAAGAACCCATCCACTCAAAATTTGAACTCCATATTTTCCACCAATAGCACATCAGATCACACCAATGTTCTGAAGCATATTTTATGAGGTATAATTGGACTATTATATTATAATTTAAATCATATGAGCTATTGCTCATGCTTTTTCCTCCCCCTACTCTCTCCTCTTAGCTGAAAATTATTTGAATCCTTTCTTTTCACAGCAGATTTATACTTTATTTTTTTTTTACCTCAGTCAACCCACCTATGCACACTTTGATTTCTATCAGCCAAGCATCCATTTAACTCCCTGTTTTTTTTTTTTTTTTTTTTTTTGCAGAATTGTCATGAGCTTGAAAAAATGGACTTGGAAGAATGTATTCTGGTAAGTGACTTCCGAGTTTTTTACATTAATGTTTTTTAATTGATATAAAAAGTTTTCATAACCTTTATGGGTTATAAAAAGCAGAGGTTAGAATAAAAGAAGAGGACAGATCTGATTGTGTGGATAAAAGAGTATTTTCCATGGTAATCCTGTCACATACTCTTTGAATAACTTTTGAGTGGAGGACAGACAGACAGAGTGAGATTCAGTGGAACATATTGTAATGCAACACATCACTCCACATTGAGATCTCAGTCTCTAAGCTGTGTATAGACATATAAGGACATTTACTGATCAAACCTGTCCTCCCTTCAGGTGACCGATAACACGTTGGCTCAGCTTTCAATCCACTGCCCACGGCTGCAAGCTTTGGTAAAGCATAAGACCCATAAAGTTTGAATTTGTACCAGAACCCTCTTAGCATGGCTCTATATCATTGTGTCTCTGTCCTTTCTTCCATTGACAGTCCCTGTCCCATTGTGAGCTGATCACGGATGACGGCATCAGAGCTCTAAGCAACAGCACCTGTGGCCAGGAGCGCCTCACGGTGGTGGAGCTGGACAACTGCCCCCTCATCACTGATGTCACCCTGGAGCATCTCAAGAGCTGCCATCGTCTGGAACGTATCGAGCTCTACGACTGCCAGCAAGTCACAAGGGCCGGCATCAAACGCATCAGGGTGAGCAGACACAAAACCAAAGACTTTTTCTCTGGATATTTCTGCTTCCTTTACAGTTTAAAGATCATAAGTGTAATGCATTGTTCTCCAGGGGAGATGGAATATTGCATAAACTTTTATTTTGTACAAAAAAAAAATGGTTTTATGTTAATTATTACTATTTTTAGGCAAAAACAGTGCAGATTTTTTACAAACAGGTTTATTAAAGTTAAAAGGGAAAACTTTTTAACCTCTCTGTACTTCATCTCAGTCACCCAATGATGTGATGCTTTCAAACCAAAGACCATTGTTTTACCTATCATTTATGGGGGGTTTAAATAAAGAAATTATTTGAAATAAAGAACGTTACCAAAAAAGAAAAGATGCACCACATGTTTCTTTTTTAAACACATAATTTTTTTGTTGTACCATTTTAGTTGCTCCTTAAAAAAATATTAATTTGATCATCGCTAAAAGCGCCATATCAATAACTTTCACACTGATTAAACTACATAATGTATCTCTTTATTACGCAGGCCCAGCTGCCGGATATCAAAGTGCACGCATACTTTGCCCCAGTGACGCCACCTCCCTCTGTGCATGGAGGTGGCCAGCGTCTGTGCCGCTGCTGTATCATCCTCTGACAATGGAGGGCCAGAGGGGGGCACCTCTGTCTACAGGTCCTGCTGCTTTGATATGGCTCCTAAGAGGTGGCGGGTGGGAGGGAGGGAGGGACAGGGGTCTAGGGTAGGGGGTGAAGGAGAGAGGAGGGGCTGGACCCACTCACTGCTCCTGATCAAAGATCAATACTTGGACTGATCTCCACCGATCCCTGATTGGTTAAAACTTCTCCTCTTTTCTCTTCCTTCTCACCAGTCAGCAGTTCAGGGGTTTGGAGAGGTTGAAGGAAAGACATATGAATGGATTGACTTTCTTTATCTTTGTCTTGTTCTCTCCTTTGTCCTCTAAAGACTGAAAACAGGTTCTATACTTCATAGTGAACCACAGACCGCGAACATCCAACCTTTCGGTGTAACAGACGCCAGTGAACCATTGGAAACATAATACATCATTTTCAAACAAAAAAAACAAAAGACCAATGTCCTCATCATCCTTGACAAAGCCACACACTCTGGAGTATCGTTTCAACCAATCACATGGCACCTTTATTCGACCATCCTGTGATTCTTCCTGCTTCAGCCAATAGACATGCTGCTCTGAGATCCGGGATGTGGCTGAAATGCAGATCGGTTGTGAAGTAGCAGCACAGTGAGATGGACTCTAAGTATGGAAAAACTTGGGATGAACACAAAGGACCTTATTTGTGCACCTCAGTAACTTCTGCTGCGATTTTGATTTGTTTTGTACAGAGAATGTTTTGCAACAGAGAAAAAAAAAAGATTCTCAGAGACTCACTCAAAACCGGGGAAAGTCCAACCAACTGCAACTTTTTTTTTTTCAGTGCTTATTGTTACAGTCAATGCCTGTCTATTCAGAAAGAGACATATGCTTGTCTCTTTGATGTAAAAAAAAAAAAATGTTGCTGTTTATCAAAGACCTATGATGAGGCTCAAAGGGGTTTGGGGGCATTTTGTTGATGATGCTTCGGGGATGAGTGGCCGCTGTTGTGACCTATGTAGGCCTGGGTCTAATCCTGTCAGTACGCCCTGTGAACTATCTCCTACTTGACCACTGAAGCATTTGTTTACATTCAGAAATTAGGTTAGCACTAGAGGCTAACCTGTTTACATCAGAAAGTTTCCAGTCCCCATTGTCTGAACAGATTCACAGTGAGTCTAAATAGTTTGTTACACGTAAACAGCTGTGTTGTACAGTTGAGGGGACTGAGATGTCCAGTATTCAGATTTATTGCTGTGTGTATCTGGATATAGTTAAAGGTGCGCTGGCCGTTGGAATTGCTTCAAAAGTGAAAAATTAACATCTGTAGATCTAAAAGATTGAATATAAGAATGGACGTGAAGAGACCTAAAGTTTTTGACAATCACATAAATGTATTTATTTGAAAGTCTCTCTAGCATAGTTCTATGTAACCGTCACTTTATCTTTGTTTTAAAATGTTACAAATTGGCTTATATCTTTCCATTTCAGCTGTTTACAGCGCTAAGCAGGAGATACATATTTATTATTAATAGAATCCTATACCTCTAAAAAAATTTATCAGGTTAATTTATTAAATTTACCACATATTTCCTACTGTCACGATAGATGATTCAATAACTAGGAAAGTTATGTGATTGGTGAAAAGTCATAAAATGACTGGTTTAATTTTCTTAGTATGCCTTAAGATCAACATGATCTCATAATTGTGTCCCCATGATTGATATAAAATCCAGCCACTTAGAAATTTACCAACTAAATAAAACCAGCTTGCAATATAAACTGGTAAATGCTGTTTAGTGCCAAGTGCTTAAAGGCTTTGGAGAGAGGCAGGGCAGTGGATAGGATCAAGGATTAACAACAGGAAGATGAAGATTTAGATGGATACATAGCTGGCATGACTGGTTGTTATACTAATGTCCTCTGACAGTTTTATCTGTTTTTGTTGAAGAAAAACAAGAAATACGTGGAAAAAATAGATGAATAAATAAAGATGACTAAGAGTAAACAATTGTTGTCTCTTTAATGCAACCTTTAATACGCAATCTAAAAATTTATATAATTTTTTTTCACCTGAGAATCTTCTGCAAGTGTGATTAAGTCTCCATTATGTTATTATTTTATAGAAAAGTTCTTTATATTTTAAATTGTTTAAAACGGAAGGAGAAGAGTGGAAATTTGAACTAGGAAATATTGGAAATTTGCCAGGACTGAAGTATGATTCCATTGAAATTCATCCATGTTCGTTTAAGACAGTTCCGCCTCTAGATGTCACCAAAGAGCCATGCTGTTAAGAAAAGACACGCCTACATAAAAGGGATGTTAAATTATCCGAATAAAAAAATGCAAAAATATATTTTTTAAACGAAATGTGTTCTTTTACTATCCATTTTTCTCATTTAAGCAAATGTAAGTTATCTTTTAGATTCCAATTTTTTATTTATTTATTTAGAAATGACTTTACATCAGGCATTGTGTTGGCCAGCTGTGCGGTGATCAAGGATTGGTGGTCTCGCCGCATAGTAAACTGCAGTCCCCGGCATCATTCAGAATCCAAGTGCCCCTCAGCGGGTTCCGACCAACAATTTCTGCACTTCTGGACTAAAATAGGACCCTTTAACGTGGGAGGGGATCTGTTTTTGAAGTTGAAGAAGTTTACCGAGTCTTCCATGTAGACTGAATCACCGGCTAACAGACTTTGGTGGCAGTGGCCATGAACTAGAACAGCGTAGCAGCGTCCAGCGATAGGCCGTTAGCGGGCTGAGCTAGCATAAATAATGCTATTTGTATGGGCGCTAACTAGCTAGATGCTATTTTGTTAGCATAACAGATAGTGAAATAAGACTTTTGGCGTGTCGTTATGCCTGTATGCGGAGTAACCATTGCGGTTTTACATTAAATTAAGTTTTGCTGAGTGTTTAGTATTTTTAAAGGAAAATCGGTCGTTGAAACAACAAACGGGAACTTTAACGAAACGTATCAAGTGAAATTGTTGGTTTATTAGAGAAGATGTGTGTGGCAACATAATCTTTTTTTCTTCTTCTTCTTAAACGATCAAATATTGATGATCAAACCTGATTTTAAAACCATCCGGACTTCAAGTTTCTTCAGCCCTTTTCAGTTTCCCTACACCCCATCCCTAGGACCGTTGTCTTCGATCTTTGGCCCAGCTGAACTAGCTGGCCGCTCGGCACTGGGTGCCCAATGGAGGATCATGACAACATGGACTATTTTTACCAGCAGGTACTGCAGAAGGATGTGACACGCAGACTGCAGGTTGGCCAGGACCTCATCGACTACCTGAACGACCCACATCGTTCTCCGGACGTGGAGCAGGACAAACCCCGGCTTGATAAGACCATAGACGAGCTAACGGGATGGATCAACTCCAGCAATTTCAAGGTAGCGATAATGCCCTGTCATCGTGTGAGGGTTTCGTGATGCCAGGCGAGCGTTTTCTTGGCTTCCTCATGAATTATTTCGTACTTTTGAGCTTAAAAATAAGGCGTTAGTATAAAGCTTTGATATACAGAGACTGGTTTCACTGAAACTAAAGCAGAGATTAAGAAGACGAGTTTCGTCTCGTCTAAAACAAACAGCTTATTTGGCAGCTTTTATAAGTGAAAACAATAGGAATCAGAAGCAGTTTATAGGCACATCATTGTGTATTTTTCTCCCAGAAACGGACAGAAAGCAGAAAACATGTGTATGGTGTTATTAATAGGTTTAAATATTTCATTGGAAGCAGACATTTTTAAATTTCCTGCTGACTGTGTATTTTTCTGAGCATTCCTGTGGTTTCTCTTGCTTTCTGTTATCGTTTTGGTAGAGCCTATGTTTGTCTGCGAAGGGGACCCTTTGTCAGAGCTGTGGACTACAGGGATATTGCAGATGCGATGGGGGAGGGGCTTTGGTTTTTATTCTTTCATTGATTTTTATTTTTTTTTTACTACTTTTTTATTACAGTAAAACAAAATACAAAACAAGCATGTGCATCCATGTTCAAAATAGTAAAAACACTAAAGCTGCAGCCAGACTGAGCTTGCATCTCCAGCTAATGTATTACTCAGCATAATGTAAATATGCAGAGGGGTTGCTGGTTAAGGTTCTCTGTTATTCAGGACATGGTAACCCCACCCCCCAGAAAAAAAGGAAAAAATTACAGTCCCCCTCATCCAGACAGCTTTTTTTCCATTCAAAGCTGGTGAGGGCGAAGTTCCAAGTGGTTTGGGGAAGTGTTGTTTTTGTAGATCTATATGCACACACCGATTGGACTCCACTGACAACAGGGTGTTGTTTGGAGTGAAGGAAGCCATCTGTAAACACAGTAGGTCTCAGATTTCAGCTTTAAAAAACATACATTAGGGGCTGCTCAGTGGCGCAGTGGGTAGCACTGCTTCCAGGTTCAATTCCCGGCCTTTCTGCATGGAATTTACATGTTCTCCCCGTGCACGCGTGGGTTCTCTCCGGGTACTCCAGATTCCTCCCACACTCCATAAACATGACTGTTAATTGGCTTCTCTAAATTCTCCTTAGGTGTGAGTGTGTGTTCATGAATAGTTGTTTGACTCCCCGCCTCTCGCCCGGGGACAGCTGGACATAGGCACCAGCACCGTGAAAGAAGATGGGTGGATGGAGGGATCGAAAACATACAGTTCAAGCATAATCTGCATATGACTAAAAATCTACTAGTTTGTCAGAACATCAGCGGAGGGAGGGGGGAACTGTTTGTGTGTTTAAACCTGCAGAACCACCCATCCAAAAAGGCTTGAAAGTTTGATATTTAAGTCCCGTTTTTCATTTATTGTTTTTATCCACATTTTTTGTGGGAATCTGAAGCTAATTCACATCATCTCTGCTGATTTGTAATACCGAGCAAGATGTAAACATGGGGGTGGTTGAGCGAAAACTCCTAAATACATTTTATGTGAGAGCAGTCCTTAACCTGAGCAAGTCGTCTTCATTGTTAGGTTCTAAGTATTAACTGTGGAAAATTGGATGATGCATCTTTCTGCATCTCTGTTTGAGAGATACCAATTTTTAGATCAATATCCAACGATTTTGTACTTTATAACATTTAAACTATGAGATTCAAATTTCTAATGGTTCTTTAGTGATTTAAAAGGGCAAGCGAAATCTGGAAAAAATGGGAAATGGCAAAAAGAAAATAGAACAGAAACTGAAATGGATACATAACAAGTTCATCTATAACAACAACTAAAACACAGATAAATCCTCTTTAAAACGTCTTCCCGATGTAATGCAGTGTGATGTCATGGCCTCCGATGTATTATTTTGTTTTGTTTTATATTAATGACTTGCACTAATGGTTGGGCTATATTGGCATCTGTGATGTGTGGGCGAGTTGCCCTTCAAAAAAGGTGGACATACACTAGGCTTTTATCTTTGCTGTGGAACGAACAGCAAGACACTGAGTCAGCAAGCAGATAGTGAATTAGAGGAGAGATGAGGACGGTTGACATGAAGAGGGTGTTTATAAGAGAGTTGAGAAGATAAGTGAAAAGTGAAACTCATGATTCACAAATGTCCTTCAGAGTGTAGGAAGGGAAGACCTTCTGAAGTGTCTTAAAGGAATTGAAGCGTTTGATGTTTAAAGCCCAACAACAGAATAAAAGTATCATGGAGACTAGATCTGGAAAATGAAAACAGGAAGCATAAATAATGAATGACGCCGCATTTGGGGAGTTCAATTTAAAATGACTGAACTCCACTTGGCACTTATTGGCGGTAGATCCGGTTTTGAAAAGCATTTTCTAATAGTAAGAAAAATCCTAAACATTTTCATTTTCATATCAAATAAAAAAACAACAAAGATGAATGTTTTCCTATCATGCAATGAAAAAAATGTCGGCTTTGGCCTCCTGCTCTACAAGATTAACTCTTCCTGCAGGTGCTTAATGGGGAAAAAAACCTTCCAGCGAAGAGAATTCAATGCAGCTTTGTGGGAAGCAGCTGCAGGAACTGTTGTGGCATAGCTGCTATTGGTTGTTAGCCTCTGGTTGGTGGGTTCACACAATGGCTCCAATCTTTTTTATAGATATGATTTCTCTACAGTTGATTGGTGATTATAACTAAAGCCTGTTGGACCTAAACTGAATTTCTGAGATCTAAATTGTCCCTGGTTTTCTGTCACTGTGAGGAAGCCTTTATCATCTGCTGGTTTTTTCCGATGGGGAGGGTTTTGCAGTAATCTAATTTAATGAGAGTAAGTGGAAGCTGATATGAGTGGATCTATGGCGTTTTCCATTACAATGGGAATATTTCTTCATTTAAAAAAAATTGTTATTTTGTCGTTCGATTTGATTTGTTTACTTTTTCATAATTTACACATCTGCTTTTCATCCAAAATTCAATTCATGCTTCTCTAAAAATCCAGAGTACATCCCTTTACATGGCATGTCATGTAACTGGTTAAGCCACCGCGTGTACCAACCAGAGCCTTTACAAAGACCCATTCATATGAAGCAGACTATTTATAGAGTTTTGATGTCTGACATTCCTCGGGCACCCCGGCTAAGCGTCTGGAAGGTGTGTTGACAAGCCTGTTGAATTATTCAATACACTTTTCAGAGGTCTTCTAATAGTTTCCTGTCCTCTCAGTTCTCTTATCAAAACTTGCAAACTTTTTCACCGTCTTTTAGGTTAAAGCAGAGGTCTGCAGCCTTTTAATTCAAAGAGACACTTTTACCACGGCAACATTAAATAGAAAAAAATGTCAGGAGTCATATTAAAGATTATATACATTTTGAAAGCCAAGGAAATCTAAGTTTTTCTATTTTTTCTATTCAAAATAAAAAAAAAATCTAACCTTTTACAAAGACGAGCATAAAATCCTATTTTTTTTTTTAGAATGAATCAAGCTGGTGGAGCCACAAATATATATAAAAAACAATGAACAACTTAACCCCCTAAAAATGTAACACACACAGTTTAATCTAAAAAAAAGTTATTTTTAAAGCAACAAGCTTCATATTATTTATTTCATTTTCTAGATGTTTTTCTTCCAGGATTGTTCTGTACCATCCATCTTCCTAGCAGCTCTAAGCAGCTTTCCTGTTTGCAACCCCGTGTCATTATGCTGCCACCACCATGTTTTACTGAGGGAGTGATGTGTTTGCAGTGTACATTTTGCAACACAAACTTTGATTCTGGTCTTGTTTGTTCAGATATAAAAACCTCTTACAGTTTGTTTGTTGGAACAGCTGTGTTTTGTCCCACCATTCCTTAAAGTCGAGATTTGTGAAATTCTTGACAGATCTGCACCGCATCTCAAGCTACCATGGGAATTCTGGCTGCTTTTCTGAATTATGAATCCTTTGTTTTCTTCTTGATTCATGTCTAGGGAGAGAGAGATGGTTTAGTTATATTTACATTGAAAGGCTGCTTTTAGTAGTTCCCTTTCCATCTAGGCTACTTTGTCAAAACGGAATGATTCATGCTTTTCTTTTGTCAGATGTTATGTGAGCTGGTTTTGGTTTTATTTAGGGGTAACATGGTGGAAGACACACCAACAACAAATGTATTTAAAACCATGTTACCGCTCCTATCACTCATGTTCTTACTTACCACTTAAAGTTATGAACTACTTTTTTGGTCTGTTGCATAAAATCCCAAGAATATCCAATCCTGTTTGTGGTTCTGGTGAAAGTTCCAGAGGTGTGAATACTTTATCGGAGCACTTTATTTGTGGCTCCCATTCCTTTGATATTCTGATGTCATAACATCTGAGGTTGTGAATGTGATAACTAGCATAGCCCCTTTGGTTCCCTCTCCTCCGTTTCTCCATGTGAAGATGATACCAGATGGTTGTGGGTGTTTGATGGGGTGTTGGGTGGAGGAGGGGCAGAGGAAGCCCTAGGGATGTTTCCATCGTGAATCTTGTTTCTCCCCCCATCTTCCTTATTTTCCCCTTGAATAATGTCTGCATAAGGCCCTCTTCACTCTGACCCAAGGCTTGCTTTTCCTCTCCAGGTGATTTATTTTTTTCTAAAATCTTATTTGTCCTTCATTGCAGTCTTTTCCTCCCTCTCCCACCTTCTCCTCCTTCTTGAACGCTGTCACCTGGCTTCGGCCTGCCTTTGACTAAAATAGGGAAAAACTGCAGCCCAGCTCAGATCTTTTTGCTGGATTGAGTCTGGAAAATAATCTTTAAATGGATTTTCTTTCTGGCTGTTGCAGTCATAGCAGATCGGTGCCAACAAAAGCATTCCAGTAGCATGGCGCAGCACAGGGATATGATATTAATCAGAGGAAAAGTGGAAGAACTCAGAGACGCAAATATCAGTATCACCATCATCACTTGCTGATGTTTATGTTGCAAGCATTCAGCAGGGTTCATTTTAATGTGGTCTACCACAACAAGACATGTCAGTTAACTATATTCTTAACTTGAAAGGAGTTGGCATCTGTTAAAAGACAATCTTCTTGTATTCTCTGTGTTTAAGATTGAAAGATGACCATTTCACACAACATAAAATAAAAATCCTGACACATATGTAGAAAGATTTTAGAAGAAAAAAGATCTGTTAAACATATTTGCATGCAGGAGTTTTTTTCTTATATATACTGTTGGTGTTATGGAGTTATGCCAACATCTGTAACCATGTTTACACTTATAGGCTTTTGCTCTGCTGACTGTGATTTTTTGGGAAACTGGGTGGGAGATCCAGATCCACATAATCCAATACTTCCCACGGTGAGACACAAAAAAAGGGTGCTACTGAAATGATGGGCCAAATGAAGGAACATAGCATGCAAAATTTTAGAAAGTGTGAGAGAGTTTAGTGACTTATGCTGCGTTCACACCAGACGCAGCAGAAGCAGCGAGTTTACATGCAAAGTCAATGGTTGGTGCTCGTCGCGTTTTGAGCAGCAGGCGCAGCACGTCGGGAGCGTTGAAGCATCTGACATGCGCGACGCGCTGCGCCGCAAATGCGCTGCTGCTTGAGATGGGCAAATTGAACTTTTGCTGCTTGACGCGCTGTATCAACCAATCAGAGACGCTGATCTGGGAGCTGGCTGTGAGACAGACACATCGCTGATGATACAGAGCGCTGTGATCACTCCTCTGAAACAGTTTATTAACGTCTAAATTAACTTAAAATGCTGAAACCTGCCGACAAAGTGTGTTCGCTTTTATTATCCTGGTGCCTGCAGTTTGGATTATGTACATGAAAACCACCTTCTAGCCGCCGTGGCGAACCGCGAGGAGGCTACCGGGCCATAGGTTGCTGTTGAATAGGATTCCTACTGACAGCGCAGCGCCGGTATTTGGGGGTCTGAGCGGCTCCGACAGAAATAATATTGGAAGGCAGGATGGTAATCTGGATGAACTGAATGCACTGATTAAGTTTTCAGGTGGATTTTCTCACTTAAAAACATATTAAAACTACTTTATTCCCACTTATCACAGCAAATATAGCTGCAAGGCAAAGAAAGGATAGGGTAGCTCCGCCCAACGCGCGTCAGACCCACTTTTCCGACGTGCCGCAGGAGCAGCAAGCTGTGTCGGAACTGATTTGTACAAGCAGCAAAAATGAAGCAGCAGATGCGTTTTTGCTGCTCTTGCTGCGTTTGGTGTGAACGTAGCATTAACCTCTGCACAATATTAGCCCCATTTACACTATCCCCTTGAAACTGTGCCGAGAGCAGTCCAAGCATGGTACCCGAGATAAATGTTGAGTGTAAATGGCATACGAAACTAAACAGGACCGTGCCAGACACAAGTGAACCATGCTAAACTGGTACTAGTTCATCAGTAGGGCTCGGCGGGGATCAGTTCTNTTTCTTGTTCACCGCTATATAACAGTAGTACCAAAGATCATCACTAGGAAGCAAGGGACCGTGCTAGCATGATGTGTAAACGGTTGTAAGGAACCAAGCTCAGCTCGGATCAGTTTTCAGAGGGTATTTTAAATGGGGTAATAGTTCTAAATGGTGTGATTTGATTTGGTTCGCTGCCATTCAATGCAATGCTTGAGGCTGACAGAGGGAGACTGTATTCTAAAATATACTTGTATTTATAACAATATAAAATGCGTTAACAGACATGCTTATTTGTACGATTAGTTGTTGTTTGTTTTGCTTTTAGTGTGTTGATTGTTGTTTGTTGTGATGCTACAAATGTTCTAATGAGTTAATCTGTTACACAAATTCTGTCACCGTTCTGCTGGAATGGGTGTAGTTTGTAAATGGTGATCATTTTCCAGTCAACAGCCTGGCAGGTGATCACAGAGTGACTCATAAGTAGAGATCATCCAAGGTTATGAATCCATGCCAGTTTTCTGTATACAAGCTCTATATGATGGAAAATAGGCAAGTTTTTTAGTTTTTTCACTGTGTCAATTAAGTTAACATTTGTACGGTTCTGCAACCTGCTTCTCTGGAGCGTCAAGTGGTTTTTTGCACCTTCTAGCGTGGCTCTTAATAACTAAAAACAGACGAAGAGTGTATATAAAAAACTGATTTAAGCAGGTTTACAGTTTTTTTTTTTTTTTGAAGGAATAGTTTTATTCAACTTGCACCTGAATAAAATGTTTTGAGATGGCCATTAAACGGCGTTAAGATCTTGTTTTTATTTTTATTATCTTGGAAACTATACGCATGTTTTACTTTTATTTAGGCAAGTTTATTTGAAGAGCACAATTCAGTACAAAGAAAATTCATGCTTTAAATTAATTAAACGAGGAATATAAAAACACAATATAAGCAGGTAGTAAAACAAATAAAATGGTGGGATTCAGTAGAGATTTAATAGTTAAAACTGTATTCATTTTTGCAGGTATATATTTTGTTTTAAATCTAAAAATACTTAATAAGATTAGAAAAGAAAAACATACTTTCGTAGTTATGTATAAAAAAAAAAATATAGGGAAAATATAGAGAAATGAGGTGTTGATTCTCTGTACGTCCATTTTACCCACTGAACTGCCGTTATTCAATTATGACAAATGTAAGCTTAGTTTTGCATTCTATGACCCCTTTAAATGGCTGCATTTGCAATACAATCACAATTTTTTTTTAAAGTGTTTTGGCAAAATCCTGCAGGCCTAGTTTTAATATTTTGTGTATGCAAATTGTTTACTGTGCACCCTAAATCTGCTCTTTAAATTTCTTTATTGTGTTAAAAAACAAAACAAACACATTAAGATGTGAAGTAGTACTATAAGATGCTTCAACTTGTGTACCTATAGTTTGTTTTTATTTGGTAGAAATGGAGAGGGAAATGTGTTCCAGCAAAAATGAGCAGGTATAACGATTGTTTTCTTTTCTCTGTGCTTTGTAGGTGGCTTTGTTAGGGATAGACATCTGCGGTGCGTTTGTGGATCGCCTGGGAGAGCGCTTCAGAGGATACCTTGGTACAGGTGAGAGTTTCCCTTTGGTTCGTTTTTGGTATAGGCTCACTTTATCATTAAACTTTTTTTTTTTTAGTTTTGATATCTTGCTATCTTGGTTAAAGATGGATCACTGTTCAAATTTTTGTTCCATGTCTAAGATCCCAAAACAAGTAAAAACAAGTTTTGCGGCAGCTTTGTTGCACATGTACCAACAAACCAGTTGGAACCCTTTTATCTTTTAAAGCCAATACAAACTTCTCATTTTGTTTTTTGTGAAAGTGACTATAATGACCTCTTTCTTTTCTCTTCCTGAGGCTCAACTTCTTTATCTGCTAGCATAAAGAGTCAGTGAAGCATAAATTAGCCTTTTTGTTTTTCCTTTTAAAGGGATGTTGGTCTTTACTGAACAAAGAAAGCAAACTTGGGCTTCACTTTCTTTACTGGTTGCTGAAAATGTGTTGCAGTTTGTAAATAGTAACTGTCCTTTTCGAAACTGTCTGCATGTTTTTTCGTTTCTTCTCTCGCTTCCCTCTAAGACGCTCCAGCAGTACTGCCTAAATCAAAATGTGCTGCCTCCCCCCCTTCTATTCCACATCCTTTATACTTCTCTATACTTAGGCCCTGCTGTAGGTCATCCTATTACCCCCCCATAACCACACCTTCTGTTAATGACCTTAGAGGTTAACTCCTATATCAGATTTCACACCCATTGGTTGGTATATTGTGTTTTCTGTCATTGCCAGAACATACAGTATGTTTGTGTGTGTTTATTACATGGTGGGAACCATTTTTCCATAAATCTTAGCACATTGTGGAGACAGAGTGCTCTAGTGTGGACCAAATGCTGTTTTAGGCTTAGGTGTTAGGTTTAGGATCAAGGTGTGAATTGAGTTTAGTTTAGGATTAGGGTTAGGTATGAACCCACAGTGGTTAGGATTTTGGTAAGTGTCACGGTTAGGCTGTAGAAATGAATTAGAAATGAATGAAAGTCAGTTGAGGGTCCCCACAAGGATAGAGAAACGTGTGCTGTTTTGTGTGTGTGTTTGCGCTGTCATTGCAAAGCCAAAATGAATGTTGTCACCAGTAAACATGCTGAACCCTGCAGTGCCACTCCAGGATTACCGGACTCATCAGCACACTGTACAGCTGACTACCAGACAGAGTTTCTATCCTGTCATCGTCAAGGACGTTGCTGAGCTAAGCTGCGTTTATTTTGAAACATTGTTTTTCAGATTGATGCTAAAAATCATCTGTTTTTTTTTTTTTCTTTTAAGTTGGGTGTGGAATATCCCCTCCTCAATCTGACTTCATCTTTCCCTCTACATCGCTCCCTCTTCATCTCCCCTGCATCCACCCACATTTGCACACAAGGAGGAAGATGAGATCATTCAGACCAAGTGATTGTATTGATTTACTGGGCTGACTTATTGCACAGCACTGCTGAATTTACAGCCTGTGTGTGTGTGTGTGTGTGTGTGTGTGTGTGTGTGCATGCATTCTGACAAAGTGCTGTGTGCCATCCGGCCAGGTTACTCCCTCATGTCTCTAGTTGAAACTGAGGCGAAAACGTGCAGGCCTCTTGTTTGGCTGCTCCCTGATTTAATTATGCTTTCATCTGCGCGGCCCTGACAGATGAGACGGGCTGTGATTCGCCAGCATTCCTGTCATCTCTCAGCGTGATGAGTTGAAGGAAAAACTTGTGTACATTTTCATTTTTACTCCACTGAGTGATGTGTCCAGCAATGCCCTCCCCCGCCATGATCTCTGTTTGAGGGTATTGTCCTTGTTGCTAAGGCAACCAGCTGTTGTGGTAGCATAACTTCCACGCCGAGTTAAAGGACAGATTACATCACTCCATCTCTCCCTCTGCTGAAGTCTCAGACAGGGAGTGTGTGTGCATGTGTGAGCTGCTCTCTCTGTTGATATTTTTATCTAATTAAAATAGGTTAGAGGTCATTGTTGGGGCAATTAAAGTAGCAAAGCAACAAATAAAACTTTTTACCTTTTGATGTTAGGCTCTCTATTTCATTCATATATTAAATATTTTGTGTTTAAATATTGAACTTGAGACTAGAGTTAAATAGAAGAGATTCTCTTATTTCAGTTTAATGGTCCATCTAAGCTTTTAGTTAGTTTTGACTTGATGAAACTTATTTTTTATGCATTAGGGCTCTGATGCTCATAATGGTATATTAGAAGCAAATGAAACACAGGCTGTATGCAGGGATGGTGACGAATGCCGCAGTACAATAAATATATAACTAATGAGATGTTAAAAAATATTAAAATACAGTTGTATTAATATAGTTATTTAAATGTCTTTAATTTAGTAAAATGGGAAATAAATGCATCTTTTATTCATTATATAGATCTCAGTTAAATATACAGGTTTTATCTTAAGAAGTGAATACAATCAGTTCATTGATAAATTATTTCATGTTTCTGTGCTAAAGCACACCATGAATTTAAACTGTCACACATCCATCAAAGTCAAAGAGGCAGGATTAGATCTGTCTCCATAGAAACACTAAAATTAAATTGCTTTATTTAACTGAGGTCAGTATATTAATTTAATAAGTTCTGTGTTTATTTCCAGCTTTAATAAAATTAAGCTTATAAACAAAAAATTCATGAGGTATTTATTAAAGTTGTAGGGAATCGTATTTAAATGTCAAATGTGTCATAGTATTTGAATATGGTACCAATTTAAAAATGTCATTTGAATATTGACCGTCTCTTGGCATCAGTTCAGAGACAGACTCTGGCTCATTCTGCTGAATAGTGACTTGTTGTTTCATCAAGGATTAGCAGATTTTTTTTTTTTTTTTAATGCAGCCATCAAATAATCTCTTTAGCTCTCCAGTATGTTTTTTTCAGATTAGAAATTCAGAAATCGTGTTATTTTTACAGAGCACTGTACGTTTAACATTCCCTTTTTATTTTTCATGATCTCACCACATTACATGGAGATGGAATGACCTCGGGGTTATTTTAGCCACCGTCCATTACTCATTTCCTTTGCTTTTCTCTCTCCAAGGTCTGTTAAAGCCTTACGCTTATGGTGCTATTGTTGGAGTTTGTTTTTAGTTTTTTTTTTTGTGTGTCTCACTCTGCTACTCTAAATGTGAGTTTTTTTTTCTGTTTCTTACTGTCTTTTAAAAAGTCCGCACTGAGGCAGTCTTTTTTTGATCTGTTATCAATTAATGTCTAATTTTCTTTTAGTCAACCAACACGCCAGCTGGGAAACTACATCCACATCTTGACTGGCTAACCAACGTCCCCTCTTCCTCTTTTTGCTCTGTTTTTAGTCGTGCCAGCCCTGGTGGACCGACTGGGTGACGCAAAGGATCAGGTCAGAGAGAACAGCCAAGCCCTCATCCTTCGCCTCATGGAGCAGACCGCTTCACCCATGGTGAGAGACATAATGACGTGAGCCGGTAAATCCCCCTGGGTTAGGGTTATATCAGACATGTGGCTTTTAATCAAAGCTCAAGATAATCATGGAGGCAATGAAGTTATTTTTGTGTATTTGTAGTTTTAGGTTAATATAAAACTCATCTGGCAGCAAGTAATTCATCTTAATTTTCATAATAACCTCTATTTTATAGAAATGCTTGTTTAGCTGCAGGGTCCAGATCACATCCATATATTCTACTTCCAAAACTAAAATCTCTCTGGCTCCCTCGTCTGGATATAAATGGAATTACACCTGCTGCATCCTCATGATCTTTTATAGCCTTTACACAAACGACACAAACATCTCTGCAGATTTTCACCTTCATAGTGTCCTTAGCTTAATTATAAACAGGATGTTTTTCTTCTCGCTCCTACTGACGTCCTTTACTCTCTCTCTCTCCCACTCCTATCCTCCTCGACCTCATTCCTCAGAACGTGTGGGAAAGGCTGACTCCTGGTTTTAAACACAAAAACTACCGTAGTCGAGAAGGAATCTGCCTCTGTCTCAGCGCCACACTGAGCACGTGAGTGGCTTCCTCTTTTTTTTTTTTTTACAACATTCAGGATGCCATTTAAAGGACAGAGTTGTGAAATGTTTAGGTTCTCAATCACATTTATGCACTCACATATGTACTTATACTTATGACACAAACATTCTTAACCCAATTACTCAAAAGTTTCAGGGTTAATCCTCTTAGGCATTTCCAGCTCTGTAGAGGGGGCCCACAGTTTTACTGTCGCAAACAGAAATGCTTGTTTTTTTATCAATTAGTTCAATCTCACTTCCTCCCTTAATTCTAAGAGGATTGGAGCTGCTGTAAAATGCTGGAGGATTACAGAAACATTTTGGTGCGTCAGGGTTTCACAAGCTTAAGATGTCATCTGCCAAAATGTCTTTACATTAGTGATGTTAAGTGGATTTTTGTTAATTGGACAGGGGTAGGTTCCTCTTAAAGTTTGCACAGACGCTGAAAAAATCTGTCTTGAGCTCATCTTGGCATCTTTTGGCTAATAGAAGGAAGGTAGGGTTCTTAAACTCTTCATCTGGGTACGAAGTGATGATGTCCACATTGCAAAACTTTTTACAAGATCATATGACGGGGCATCATTACCATAAGTTACTTTCATTCATCAGAAGTCTCTAGTATTGTGCGTCCAGACTTGACTCAGTTAAAACACCTGTAAATCAGAAACCACAATTAGTTCAGAGCTGTACTTTGCAACTTAAAGTTATAGTGAAGAATTTTTGTGATATTTTTTTTAAAAGACCCGCCCTCTCCACTTAAAAAAATGCACATGCACAACCCTGTACCTGCTCTTGAGTAGGGGGAGGCTATTAAAAAGGTGCTAGAGCATGCAAAAGCCCATTTCTCCTCGTGCACGCCTTGTATAAATGTTCCGTTTGCATTTGTCATACAAGCTTGCTTTCCAAAAGAAGATTTTCAATTTTTCTGCAATGTCAGACTTTCCACCAGTAATTGAAAATGGGGAAAAGCACGTAGGACGGCCTTACATAAACACAATGGAACATACATTCTCAGCAGAATCACGGATCCTGGTCAAATAAATGTGTAAAATAAATATTCCTATAACAATTAAATATTATTATTTTATCCGGATGCAGTGTATGGATACTTTGACAAACATGCGATATTGCCTAATTGTGTTATATTTGGGCATTTTACTAGGGATTTATTTGCACACTTATTTAACTAGCATCTTGTTATTTTGGTGAGAAACTTTGTTAATAAAGTTTTTTTTTTATGCCTTTTAATTATTTTTTTCCCCAATGAAATTGAAAATGGTATTTAGTAAGGAATATTTCCTGGGTATCAATATCAAGTTTGAGATTTCAGTATGGTGACAACCCTAATAGAAAGTGACATTCTTCTGCAGAGGTTTGAAGCTGCTACCTGATAGCAGTGCTGAGGATGTAAGGCGTGTCTGCAGAGACGCCCATTGAAACTGAGGGAAAAACAAGACAAATCATCTATTTTGGGCTTTTCTTTTAACATTTTTCTCCATTTATTTAAAGAACAAAGCGTAGTAAAAGGTATTTATTTTACAGTTGAGTCAGCTATGCTTGCTATAAAGCATTTACTGCAATCTCTGTTTTTGCTTTGTCTGCCTCTCTCAGGTATGGAGCCCAGCCTCTCAGTCTCAGTAAATTGGTCCCGCATCTCTGCTCTCTGACTGGGGATCAGAACCCGCAGGTAAGATGAGCAACATCGTATTGTCGGGATTACTGGAAGTTTGTTTGCAGTATGCTCTGCCTCTATCTAGGCAGACAAAACATGTTGAGGCAAGAATAGGATTGGTTTAAATGTGCAAACCTTAATCACTAAGATTAGATGCTAGACACTCGGCTTAGATTAAATGCAGAAAAAATAAAAATATTTCAGGATTATCCTTTGTGAATCGACTGCCATTTGCATTCACCGTGCTGACTTCTTTGTTTTCATGGGAATGTTGTCATTGGCAGCCAAAAACAGTTATGTGGCAAGAATCCTGTGATGTAGAAAAGTAAACAAGATAGTTTGCAACCTTTAATCTGAGACCAGTCGTTTGCAGTTTCAGAAAATTAAAAGCATCCTTCACTAGTGGTTAATTGTTTTTAAAGGGGTCATAGAATGCAAAACCGAGTTTACATTGTTATAGATGAATAACGATAGTTCAGTGGGTGAAATGGACGTAAAGAGAAGTTCAAACCCCATTGACACCTCCTTTCTCTGCAAATCTCACAATTCTAAACTTCCAGCATAAAACGGGTGAATCCAAACAAAGCCCCGAGTTGAGATCAATCAATATGTTGCCTTATTTGGTTCTGGCCTGTACTTTGGTCACGCCCTGAATAGAGGTAGATGTAAGACACCAGTTTAGCTGTTTAGCCTACAGCTGGGTTTACTTCTACAATAATTACAAAGCCGGCAGTTTCTCTATTGAACCAGAACCACGGGCGGAAACGCAGTGTTCCAATCTGCACAGATAAAGGGGAAATTGTTCACAGTCTTCCAGAGGATCGGAAGACTCAACAGGCATGGATTATTTTGGTCTATCAGAAGATCCCTGCAAAGTTTGATGCTCAGCTGTTCATTTGCTCTAAGCATTTTACCGAAGATTGTTTTCAAAATATTGGACAGTTCAAAGCAGGATTTGCTAAACTTCTTTTAATGAAATGAGGGGCTGTTCCAACCGTAAGGCCATCAAAACCACAAGCTGTATGTAATATGTTTTCGCTAGGCTGTTGATAGCAATGCTAGCATATCTATGGTGACCAGATTTGGGTTTCTGAAAAGGAGGACACCTTTTTTGTGTCTAATGGGCCGCTGACCGGACCGGACCGAGCATTCAAACTGAGCCGGAGCTCCGGGCCTGGTCCGGTTACCGTCCAGGCTACTGTCACCAGGTTGGGTTCGGTTGCTCTGTCCCCCAGCCCCGACCAGCCCCTGAGCTCATGGCTCGGTTCGACCAAAATCCTGGATGATTCTGAACTTCCCCCCGGACTTTGTTTTTAGGTCTGTTTCAGTGAGTGTGTGCATGTTGCTATGATGCGTTTTTGCTCAGCAGCTTTGCTCGTAAACCAACCAATCAGAGCACAGCTCATCTAAATATTCATAAGCCTACCATAAAGTGAAGAAAACCTTTCGTTTCATTCTATGGCTTATAACCAGGCTTGCATTAGGGCTCATAGAACAGCAAATATGCCATTTTCAGCCCAACCAATGTTACACTACCTATTCAGAGACCTTAAGGACCAGCACCAAATACTCCATATAATCATTCTATAAGTGCTTTAATGTCACTCCTTTGTTATTCCTGTGCTGAAAGTGCTGTGAATGGTGCTGACATAAAGTTAGCAATCTGTTTTGTCGTTATAGGCCAGATCATTTAATGAACGCAACTATACAAGACAAATTTGAGAACCTAAAAACACATTTTTCCCCCTTTTTTATCAACTAGCTTCTGCAAAGTGTAGTCATTCATTCCAGCAGTCAACTTGCTACAAACACAAATCTAACATTTACTTCATTAAATAAATACTTAAAAGCAGGCCTGCAGAAATCATTCAATGTTATTTCCTCTCTATCATCGTTTGCCATTGAGTGCTGCAAGAATTCATCCAGCTGGAAGAACATTTTATTGCATTGCAAAGTGTTTGTTCATGACGATTGTAAATGACTTTGTGATGTCATTAATGCACAAAGCATATTGCAATCACAACTTCATGTGGTGCAGCTGTTATTGAGAAGTTGGCTAATTGGTAAAAATATCTTCACACATTGTCCATCCTTCTTATTTTAAGCATTGGCAGACATTACAGCAGGGATTCACTAATATTCCAGCGTGTGACTGTCATATAAACATCACCCCTTAAAAGTAGATATAATTATTTCAATTTATATTTAACATAGGGTGAAATAATTACAATCATTTTAAATTAATTCATAATAAATATTAAATAATTCTAATTGTACAATTTAAATGATAGTTTTAAGTATATATATTTTTTTTATTAAATTCATATTTAACTTCTTTATAATTTATTAAATAGATGTTCCATTTGATTATTTTCTGAGACATCTGGTGGTATATTTATTTTATTGTACTTACATTTATTTCATGAGATGAAATTACATTAACATAACTTTATAACATTAACATAATTTAAATCAAGATATATTTATTTATATGACCTTCTGGCCCTCCATACACAGCAGGGGTTCATGATGCAGAAAAGTGCTTAGGTAGCTATCAAAATAGTGAATCAGGAGTGGTTGTTTCACAATAATAGCTGCATGCTTAGATTTGTATGTGGAATTAACATTTAACTTTTGATGGTTTTCATGAACAGAAACGTGTCATTTTTATAAACAAAAATGTGCTTAAATTCATTTTATTCTCTTACATTTGTCCCTAAAAGCACAATTTAATGTATCTGAGAGACGGCTGTTGATGTTGAATTCTCGGCTCAGAAACTGCAAGCAGACATCTTCAGGCAGTGCTGTGATCATTACAGTTATTACTGAGAGGATGAGCTCAGCCGTGCCCCCCCACCTCCCATTGAGCCTCGCTGCGCTAACATCTAGCTGTTAAACACCCACAACAGCTTAGACTGTGGGTTTGAAAGAAAATGTGAAGCAAGCTGAGCTCTGCTGCTGCATTCTACCCAATCATTAGCTCCGCACATCTCACACTGACCAATCAGCAGCCTGGACAATCCGCCTCAGTCTCAGTTACAGTGAATTCCTTCGACAAAAATCCAGCTACCCAATCGCAGCACAAGTCGGTTTAATGAGCAAATCAGATGTCTCCCAAAGAAGGGGAGCGAAGGGATCACATTCTAATGAGTGTTTATGTTTACAACACTTTGTTTGATTGCGTTACTGAGTGTAATATCGATCAGATCATAAACTGTTTAGATGCAGCTTAACTTTTTGTGTTGCTCTGCTCTCCGTAGGTCCGTGAGGCTTCAATAACGACGCTAGTGGACGTTTATCGTCACGTGGGAGAGAAAGTCAGGGCTGACCTGGGAAAGAGAGGACTTCCAGTTGCACGGTGAGCTTTTCTCTTGGTTTGAACACAATGGTAGTAAGCTCACTACTGTGTGTGTGTGTGTGTGTGTGTTTCGGCGACTGGCCTGTGGATCCCTGGGGTTTGGCACTGTGTCAGTCCCAGGCCACGCCATGCACCACTCTGTCCTTCACCACACACAGAAGCACTTTCATTCAGAGCACAATGCCATTTGACTGAGGAAAGCTAGTGGGAGGGGGCAACCAGGGGTGCAAAGGCACTTCGCAGAGAAATAGATTTGGATGGTTAAACTAGTGAAAGGGGGTTTTGGTCTTTTTTTTGTTTGGGACTTGAATATATTATTCAGAGCACAGAGTGACCCCATGTTTCCCCCCATTGCTCCCATATGTGAGATATGAGCTGCAGCCAGCCTTGCATGATGACTCCTCAGCAGGAGTCGCGTGTCTGTGAATGCTGACTGCGACCACGTGTCATGTGTTGTGCATATTTAGCCGAGCTGTCTCCTGTGTAAACACACCGTCTGTATATGAAGGGTTTATCTGTGCCTGTTTATCTCCAGTTCTTTGTAGAAATCAGAAATTTGCAATCATCAAGGTTACTAATGCCACATGTTTTTGTATTTTTATCTTTGCGATTACTAAAAGATTTGCAAACTGTAACAAAAGAGTGATATGCTCATTAACTCAATGGATAAAGCTATCAGTGATCCACTATCAGCATAAAGGAATCCCAGATTCAAATCAGCTAAAGAAGGTTGAGCAGATTTGTTTCTGTTCTTAAGGTCCCATGATTAAATCTGTGACGTGGCTCTGGTGTCTGACTGGATCACACATCATTTCTAATTCCTTCATATAATTTTAATATACATCATATCATATATCCATTTCCCTAAAGGTTAGATAAGGGTTAATTAACCCTTTGTGCTCAGGACACACTCTCCTGTTTTGAATGTGTCTCCGTTTCAGTTTACCTGATTGAAATGATTGCATTACCTCATCAGCAGCCGTGAAGTCCAGCAAAACACTGTTGATCGCCTGTTTATTTAAACCAGGAGTGAAAAGCCAGCAAATGACCTGAAACATGCAGGATAGTGAATCCTAAACACCAGGTTTCTAAAACTAAAGATTGGTCTTTCTTATTGTCTTTATTTTTTGTAGTATTAAACACTGTGTGAAGTCTTTGTTGGGGTAGGACATAACTTCCCCGAGTATTTGAGCCCTTTAAATAGAAAAATTAAACATTAAATATTTGAGAAAATATTTAAAGAACTGAAAAAATGTCAGAAATGCAGCAATAAAAAATGTATGGCCAGGTTCCAGTTAACTTCTATTAACATGCATGTATCTGTGTCATAGCTGCAAATCTCTTTTCCTTTCTGTGTGGTGGTAAACCCACTCTAATACTCCTATAAAACAATCGGCTTTTAGTGGCAGTGGGAACAGCTCGCTGACGCGTGTCTACCTGTGTCAAACCACTGGGCAAGCTAGCAGCATTAAAATCGCCTTGGCTCTGATCGGCATGCAGTGGGAACACCAGAGGTGTACCCGCTAAATTACGTGACACAATTGAACGTATCGTACGGACATCAACAGACCCCGATCTGAAAAGCTGAAACAACTCTTTTTGCATTCGATAAACCTGACGCAGCGCTGGGGAGAGAGATTCGGGAAAATAATAGAGCAAAACATAAAGCACAGTAACTGCGCCTTGGCTTCCTTACATGTTTCTCTCTCTTTCGTGATTTCTGTCACACAGGTTACATCATTAATGCTAACCCAGTGTGATGATGTCATCGGACACACAGCCGCTGATTGTTAGCTGGTCGGCCGATGTTTGAAAAAAGCGTTAAACCTGTATTTTCAGTGGGAAAGAGGCTAAAGGGTTTTATCCCCACCTAAAGGACTGGAGGGAGAACTTTGTTGTCTTACTCTTGTTAAATCTGAGTAAAATGAAGTACCTCTGGTATTTGAAAATCCTGTTTCGCTAAATTGCAATTATATTGCTAATGAAATTATTTGCGCAACCCTAATATATATTAATGTTTGATTAGGCTGCCGCCTTAAAGTTGCATCAACCTTCATCTCCGACTAGGTAAATGTTCCCTGAAGGCGAATTCTTCTTGCTCTGTGATATCTGTACTAAGACCTGACTTAACAGATGTCATAAAGTCTACTAATCATTAATTTCCACCTCTGTCCGTCTTGTAGAACAGGAGCTAACTTTGTTCATCTTTACATTGACTCCTAACAGCAGGGGATTACCATGATCCTGTAATTAGACTGAATGCAGGTGGAGATAAGCGTCTTCTGTCTAAATGTACATCTTTCCCCCTGAGAAAGGAAAACGAGTTTTCTCCACCGTTTCCACTGGCTGCAGACAGTGGGATGATTAAAAACCAGGGCCCCTCTAAGGAGGACATGCAAAGAGGAGGAAAAGTAGGGTGCGAAGGAAAGATGTTTTATTGGGGGGAGGAGCTTTGTTGTTCTCTTTCTGCTGTCGGCCATGCAGACCCTCCCCCTCAGCTGATATGGGTGTCTGGTTTGGGAGGGGGAGGTTATGTAAAGGGTATATCGCCTGTCACACAGACTGACCCTCATGGCTGGCTCTGCCATCCAGACAGATTTTTAACACCTGTCTCTTTAGATATTCCTCTGCGTGTTTTGATTATTGGTTATACGTGTGCGCGGCTGTAGGTGGTGCTTTGTCGCATGTCTGTGGCATGCTCTGGTCTCTTGCTGTTTGACTCGCTCTCCCTCCCTTCTCCTTCTTTTCGCCTCCCTCCCTCTTGAAGCCACTGCACCATGTTGGATACAAAGAGCTGAGGGGAGCTAAGGACCAGAGCGTGTCACTAGCATGGGGGGGGATAACGCAACGTTGCGCAGCAACACGGCAACCTACTAATCAGTCCACTGGGAGATTCAAAGACAAATAACTACTGAAGACTAAATGCAAGGATATATTTTTTCACCAAACTGAGTAGAAAGATGCTTATAAAAGGAAGGGAGCTGCTTGAAAACGCTGCATGGCTAAGGAGCAGGATGAACGGCTAATTATTATTATCGGGAGCTGCTTTGTAAGCTGGTGGCCGTGGATCAGCAACTAGACGCCAGGAGACAGAAAGGCAGGTAGAGAGGTGGGGGAAATGTTCTGATTTTAGACATGTTTAAATTTTCTTTGTTGTTTTTCACTGCTCTGAAAAAATCTTTTTATTTTTATTTTGTGAAGTTAGCTTAGGCCAGGTTTCCTTTATGGCAGATGACATTCAGCTTCTGGTCTTGTATTCTTATTCGAGCAGCTTGTTTTTCAGAGCCTTTTCATGCGATAGTTGTGGTGTCCTGAGTGAGACACACCCACATATTGACAGCAGGTCCACATGTTGGAGGATGATGTTACTTTCACTGGTGATTCTCAGCACCTTGCTTGGCTGCCTGCTCTAAAATGAACCGACTGACCGGTCATTTATTTTTACAGACTGATGCTCTTCAGCAGTCGCTTTGTTTACATGCATCAGTGCTTTGTCTCAACCTTCTTTCTGTTTTTATTTTCACAGGTTACAGACAATATTCGCTCGGTTTGATGAAGCCTTGAATTCTGGCAACATGGCTCTGAGCCCGAGTCACGGTTAGTATCTCTTCTCACTTCTTTGCCACAGCTATATTGGAGTCCTCATTTCTTTTTCTTTTTGCTCTTGCTAAGCGTTGGGTGTGTTTATACCTGCATTAGACTGAGCGATTCTTGTGCGTGTCTAAATAAGCAGATGCTTTCGTGGTCACGTCTGTTTGTTGCTATGAGCTCTTTTAAGAGGACGTAACAGGATTAATGGTTTAGTGTGTTAGTGTGTGTGTTTTCTGACAGAGCATGACCTGAACTCTGGGCTTATTTTGCAGATAAAATATATATTTTTTGTTCTTGTTGTCCAGCAGTGTAGATTGAAACTTTAAGTAATGTTTGCTTTGGTTTTTAGACTTGAAATCCTATAATAAAGCAGACAAGGAGCGTGGTTGAATGATAACGGTCTTTAATTGGTTAAAGAAAAAATAGATCTCTCTTTATTATAGGGTAGTTGATTTGATTGATATTTTAACTTTGATATAAAATCATTATATTATAGTCAGATCAGTAAATTGATGTTGGAAACATATTTGTAAAATTAGAATAAATACATTTACTTGTTGCTCATGTATGCGTTGGAAGTTTAGTTAATGATTATTTGTTTAATCGATTAATAATCGGATAGCAAAAGGTTCCCAAATGAAGATTGTGAAGCTACTACTGGTTATGGCTAGAACATTTTATTTTTTTCTAATTTTGACTGAAAAATCTTTAAAAAAAATATATTTACAACTTTTAGTATAAGTACTGCTCAAAGTGGGTTGATCTCTAAAAATATGATTTTTTTTTTAGAGATGATCTCAAAAATAAAATGTTTGGAAGTTTGACAGCCTAGGAAACCCTTTTTCTCTATGCATGATTAAAAGTCTTTAGGTCCAGTAAAATCAATTAGCTAATGGGACAGAGATGTTAATAAATATAAACTGAACTTAAACCTTTACTCTTGTAAAGCTCCATTAGTTGTAGTAGACATGGTAGAACTCACAATAAGGTTGTCATGATACTAACATTTTAAACTCAATATCGATGGCCAGGAAAACATTTGATACTCAATACAATTTTTGACACCACATAGAAAGAAATTGATAAACAATTCAAAGGGAAAAACTCTTGTTTTTAAAATCTCAACATGGAACATGCATTCATAACAGAACTGCAGATGCTAGTTAAATAAATGTTCAAAACTAATAACCCGTAAATCTTTATTAGCAATGGTAAAAAAGTTTAAGCACATCTCCAGTTTCAATGCCATGTAGAAATAGTATAGTATCATGATGCAACATTTTAGTATCAATACTTTTGTTAACCCTAACTGACAATCAAAAACGTTACTTTGTAGTTGCATGTACTATATCACTAAATCTTCAAGTTCCTGTTTAGCGTAAGATTCTTAAATCATTGATTCTTTTGCTAATTTTTTTTTTCTGTAACCATGCAGGAGTCTTTATCAAGCAGTTTAGACTTGAGTGTTATAATTTGATTACATTTTTTTTCCTTCTTTGTCCCCTCGTTATGTAGCAGTGCAACGGTTTCATCATGAATATCGTAGTGCTAATAAACTCTGATCATTGAACTACTAAAAAAAGTCAATGTTAGAAGCATTTGGGACTTGAACTTTGTTAATTATATTGTTCAAATTCACATCTCTCATTGGATGTTTCCACACCAAATCTACCAAGCATTATTTTCTCAGATTAAATGCTGAAAAATAATCAAACATTATCTCCTAATTATCTCCTCACCCATCCTCAAACTCTTCAAAGTAACTACACTCTTCAAAAGTAACTAGTACTGGTTTTAGCCCAGTCTCCATATAATTATAGCGCTTCAGAAACCTGAACTTTGTAAAAGTTTGATATTTTTATAGTTCCTTTTGTCTCTTCCATTTATCTACTGTTGGAGCTGACTCTTCAAACATGGCTCCCATCAGATATTTCCTGCTGCTAAGATGCTTTGGATAAAACCCACCATCAAGCCCCTGCGACACAGTAAACTAAAGAGCATCTTAACCTTTTAGAAGTCGAACTTGTGTTTCAAATTCTTCTGCAGTCACAGGAAATCACTTTTTTTTGTTTGTTAAACTCTTGTCTCCCCTTTCAGATTGGTGCCTCCTCAGTTTTATTTCACTGGTCAACCTGCACCTGAAGTGTATACTGGTTTTTATAAAAAAAAACAAAAAAAAAAAACCAAGGGGTGATTAAACAATAGGAGACTAATCTGCAGTCAGTTTATTTTAACTGGCCTCTTGTCTAGAAATCAACAGTCTGACTGGTTCCGATATGTGCTGCAAATTCCATGATAAAGAAAATCATAATAAATGTTAGTCTCAAAATAAATCATAAAAAAAAAACAAAAACAAAAAAGCAAAGGCATTAACAAGAATAGCAAATGGATGGAGCAGATGAATCCACAAATGTAAGCAGGAGTAAAGAAAAATCACGCTAATATGGCACAAAAATATTAGCCGGCTAATGTTTCAATCTGACTCTACTCTCAGCCTTTCTTTTTAAAGCCAGCTTGACTCAGTCTTTTCTATTCAGGCACATGGAAGTGTTCCCTTTCCTCTTTACCTCTCTTTAGGGCAACTCTTGGCATTTGCTTTGAGGACAGAAAAAGGAAGCTGACCGAGATCTGTGGCCAGAGGCCCAATCACTGCGCTGTGTGCCTATCACTGCCTCTCCCTGATTCATCATGACAGAAACAGAGAGCAGCACTGAGGCAACAAAAGAATGAAGGGATGTAGGGAGGAAACAAATGAGGGGAAAAGTAGAAACTGAAGAAGTGAATTTAGGGATGTCCTTTTACCTTTCAAAATTGTGGCTAACCGAGGTTGATGGGGTGACGAATGCGCCTATGTTTGTTTAATCCCATCTGGTTGTGGATTTTGGCACCCAGACATTATGCTGTCAGCATATGGTTTTAAATTGAAAGCAGCTTAAACCCTCTGTACTTTCACCCATGAGCTTTGGCACAGATGGACAACATCTGCACTTGTGAAAGGAAAACTGGGATGTCAGTTGTCTCTAATGTTCAACCGGATCATTTTTGGAAACCCGTACGTGTCTTTCAATGTGTCCAGTCTATTTCCGTTACAAGATAAAAATGATGTGGAAAAATATTTGCTAGACGATTAGAACTCATTGTTAGAGGCCAGTTAAACCTCAGAGATTAGAGATGGTTTGTTTTCTGCCATATTAAGAAAAAATCAGAGCAAACTAAAAAGATTCAAGTAACAAAAAAAAAGCTATTTTAACTATCTAAAATAATGCTTAGTTCAGAGACCCAGATATTTGATCCAAGCTTCAGACACATGGTTCTGGTTTGAACCTGAACCATGACACAGCGGCTTGTTCTTGCCCTAACCACTACTTAACATCATTTAGCCCTATCCTACGGAGAGGAAGAGGAAATATCTATTTATGTGACCTAAACAGCTTTCCTTTCTTACACTGAACTAAAGTTTTAAAAATGAAGGACAAACGCACTACTCTAATTCTGCCTCTCTTGCAGACATAGCATTCTGCTTCAGTGCATCACAGGCTCTGCAAAGAGAGCCGTGACCCTGTTTCCAGGCTAGACTGGTTGCCATAGCAAAGCTTTTCTCTGAATATTATGGGTCATCCCTTTTGCCCGACTTGGAATAGTTTGTGTGTCTGATGAGATGGGTTTTTCTCATCTTCATAGAGTAGTCTGTCTGTCTTTTATATATGAAGCTGTCATCTTTCTTCCTCCACTTTAGTTTCTATTGGTTTTCTGTCACATTTTTCATCTTAACACCTTATTCATAATTTGGATTGAGATGGGAGATTTTATAGCTCACTTCTGAACAGCGGATGCCTTTTTACTTTTTAGTCTCATTCTGATTTCTTCTTGCTAATAAATGCAACAAATATAGGCTACGTTCACACAGCAGCCTGAAGTGACCCAAATTTGATGTTTTTTCCCATATGCGACCTGTATCTGATCTTTTAATGACAGTCTCAACAACACATGTCTGTTTTTTTCCAATGCGACCCAGGCCACTTGGCTATGTGGTTCTGAGTCTGATACGTATTTTATCTTTTCAAATGCGACCTGTGTCTGAACGGCCGGTTCATCATGAACGTCATTAAAACTTGACAAAGTTACTATTCTGCGTCTTGCTACACAGAGGTGGCAGGAAAACAACAACCATGGCGGACGATAATGTGCAGAATAGTCTTTATTTTTAACCATCTTGAAAAGATTGTATTGTTATGGTTGAGAAAGATCGCTAGATGCGGTCCAGCACTACCATCCATGTTTACTTCTGTAAACATAGAGCATGATTGCTTGTGACGTCACAGCGCCCTCTACTGTACATGCACGCGTTTAAGTTGTATGAATGTAGTTCACGCAGGAGATCAGCTACAAGTCGCGTATTCGGTGGGAAATCTTTCAATTCTCCCTGTTTTGACTTTTGAGTGCTCGGAACATGAAATTTTTTTTGGTAGATTATTATTTATTTGTATCAGAGTATAGGTGATGTCTCTCTTTGATCGTGATAAACACCAGTTTGTGTTCCTGGTTGTTGGTGAAAACTCACTTTAACAGCAGGTGCCACGAAGGAGACTGGCTCTACAGGGGAATAAAACAGTAACTCTCCCCCTGCTGCTATATTTAGCCTTCTGACATTGAAAACACTGTTTTAAAAACAGAAAATTTTCTCATTAAACGCTACAGTTTTTTTTTAAAGCTTTTTTACTTTTTTTTACTAAAGGGTGGTGTTACCTGTGTGAGTTTTCTTTAGTTTGTTTAATAATCAGAAAGAAGAAATTTCACTTTTTATCTGGCTAAATGTGCCTTTTGTAATTGCTTTATACATTTAGCCCTTATTTGTCCTAAAGTTCCTTACATGCAGTTATAATAAACATCTGCTGTTGTTTGTTTTGGTTGGACAGACCTGTCACTTTAAAGATGTCTATATAATTTTTCTCATTTCATAAGCATGGGTATTTTACCTTTGTTTTTTCAGAGAAAGATGATATCTTTGTTGGTGATGAGCAATAAACTAACTTAGTGGATAATTAAAAAAATGGCTTAATGAATATAACTCCCAGCTTTGTTTTTGGGTTGGATGGAATCGAGACCTACAGTTTTAGTTGGGACTCTGCTCACTGTCACTCTGCTTCAAACTCTGCAGCTTACATTCGATCACCATCCATCTGTGTTGGTTGTGTAATTTATTCTGGAGATGTCTGGTTACACTGGTGTAGACATTTTAAAACTTATTACTACAGCTGAGTTTGCAATACCTTAACTGATCATCTGGATCAATGCTTTAAAGTGTGTATTCTCTGTTATAATGATTTATACTTATTTCCCAATGGTAAGAATAATGGCACTTCTCTCATTAACCTGAATTAAGGAATTTACTTTTCTCTCAATGATTTGCCATAAATTTAGCCACCAACTGCTTTTTTGAACTGCCCTTTCTTCACATCAACACACTATTTTCCAATCTCAGAACCTTCAAAGCTTTGAGAGTAACACCAGTGCTGCCCCCTTGTGGTCAGAAGGTTTAGAAACGTCCTTCCAGATCTGCATATACTTCTCTCATCAGCTTCCTTTCCTCCTCCAGGATAGTTTCCCCATTTCTTAATGTCAGCTTTTTACTGCGTTCCAGATGATAGCGAAAAGACTTTACTCTTCCTTTTTTTGTCATTTATTGACTTTTTTTAGTTGTTTTATAGTATCTGCAGTTTAACAAAACTGGGGTTTGCACACTTAATTTATGCACTAAAGTGTTGCAATAGATTTTGGAAGATTGTTTAATCTATTTTTCAAATTGCTCCGCTGAAACTGAGAGAGGAGGGAAATCTCAGCCTGGAGTTTCCATGGCAACCATGTCTAGTACTACATGGGGAGCTGTTATCCCTGTTGGTGTTTTTAGGCATTTGTTGCTTTATTCGTGAAATGATTGTCAGTGTTTAATCACCATTACTGCCGTTCAGAACAGCAGGAAGTCTTAACCTGGTGGAGCCACCGGACGTTAGTGAATTAATGTGATTACACTGCATTTTCAGGGTGTTTTTTTTTTTAGAGATCCACTCTTTTTATATCGTCTGCACATACATGTACTCTCCTAGGGTCAGACTAGACAAAAGCAATTGATCAAGTAATAATGAGTTATAACTAATCAATGCCCAAATCATTGATGGATATTGCTGATTTTGACCCTAGAGTTCAGTAATAAAAATAAACATTTCACTGAAGAAGTAATCTATATGGAGGTTTGTCCTTTGGTTTATATCTATTCTTGGTCTGGACACTTATGTATTCATGTGTTAGCAGTAATTTGACAAAATATAAAAATAAAAGAACAGAATTAGATAATCATTTGGCTCTGCAATACTCTGCCGTGCAGAAGCTGCAGTGTATAAACTCTTCAACACATTTATAATTTGGAGATTCTGCTAAACATGTATTATCAGTAGAACTGCACAATTTAATCCCAATCTTCATTTAAGAGACCCTTATGCAAGGGATTGGTTAATTACTAAAATATGCATAACAGTTAAGTGTCCAATCCCCTTAATCCACAGAAATAATTTCTATGGTTTATGTGTTAATGTGGAATTTACTTTAAGCATTTTCGGGGTCTTGATACGTTTTTTTAAAATAGAAATAAATATGGATTACCTTAAACAATGGAAGTTTAAACTTAATTATCGTATTCATTTTACTTAAAGATAAACATCTGATATTTAGTAAATAATTGCTTTTTTTTTCCACATTCATGTATATACATTTTCTATGTTTAGTTTCTTTCTCATTCTTTTTGATTGCTTTGGTTCTAAAGGTCCTTTTACTTGCTGATATTTATTCAAATATAACGTAAAAATTTTTACCTTTAATAACTGAGACTAGTTTAAGCATTAAACTGTTCTAGTTTAGGCATCAAACAAAGCTCTGAAATCCATTTTGTTTAACTCACTAAAAAAGGGGAAACATATTGAATATTGTGCAGGATTGAATGTTTCAGATTTAATGAATGTTTTAGATTTTAAAGCTGGTTTAACCTTCCTAAAACAAAACAAAAAAAAGGTTTTGAATCGAATAAGAGATACAAATGGAATCCGGATGGTGAGACGGAGAGGGATGAGGGATGGTTAAGGCCTCAGATGGGTGGGGTCTTCCAGTCCGAATCATCACCTCTCTTTTGATCGTTATCTTTGTTCTTTTTAAGACTGGTCAGATGTGACTGTGGCTTTTTTGTTTGTTTTTTTCCTTCTTCACATTTTGTTCAAACAATGACTGTGTTGTAGATAAAATAAATGAGTACACAGCATGGAAGGGGGGTGTATTGCTGTCAGGGATAATGAGTTTAGGTTAGGCTGGACACAGAGCAGCCCCGTTAATATTCCCTCGGTGTCTGATTTGTGTGGGTCTCCCTTTCTCTCTTTCCCACCACAAACCGAGAGGCCTGCCTCCGCACTGGCTGGAGCAGCATGATGTCACCTCCCATCTGATTGGCTATGAGGCTGCTGAGAGAAGGAGAGAGGCTGAGGGAGGGGAGAAGGGGGGGTGAGACATGAAAGGAAATGCCGGCACTTGTTTGGATGGAGGGGAGCCTCTTTTTTTCTTGATTTTTGGACGGAGTGCGTTCAACGCTTTAGCCTCATCATGACGGGGGTGTGAGGAGCGTAGATGTGCGCGTGTCTGATTTGGGGTACGGCTCGGAGAAAAGAGGAGACCCCAGAAAACCACGCCCTCCTAGAAGCATGAGACGTCTTATCTGCCAGCGGATCTGTGACTGTGAGTGCAGGGATGGACTGAGCTGTGTGTGTAAATCTTAACGCATGACATGCATACACCTTTACATTCGCTTTAAACACAATAGACCGTCTGTCCATCAGACAAATGAGCTCCCTTCATGCTAGGGTCTTTTGGGTGGAGAAAATCTTTTTGTTTGCAGGTGAACGTGTTGGGTGGTGGCTTTAGCGCATTTCGCCATGGCTGGTTGTCAGAGCAACCAGAGCGCCACCACATTCTTGGGCCAACAGTTTGATCTCCACAGCGTGTCTGTTTGTGTGTCCATTTCTCTGGCTTGCTTTATTTCTGATAGCATCAACAGAAAGGGTTAGGAGGAGATACATCAGTCACTAGTTGAAATCTGTTGGGCTGGTTTTTCTATCTGCGTTAGCTTTTTCTTCCTAGCAAATGGAGTGGTTATAATTAGCATTGATTAATTCATTTCTGAATAAACTCTACCAAGCCGACTGCTGCTGATAGATTTGTATTTTTATTTTAAGGATGAATAAGAGGAATTTTCGAATCAATTTTTGCACTATGATTAGATGCAGTCATGCAGAGCATCATTTACCTTTGAATTTTCCTTTATCAATGCAATACAATGCAATCAGCAAAAATAATACACGTTTATGATACGTATTATACATACAAGTTCCTTCATGACTACATGTTTTAAGTCACTATTTGTGAACATTAATGAAGTTTGTTATTCTTGAGGAAGAGGAGACATTACTACAGACTAACATTTTCTTTTTCCATCTTTGCTGAAGAAAATGTTCTTAAAAACCTGCCTGGATGGTTTTTTTCTTTTTTTTAACTTTCATTTCAGCTTATTTAGATGACTCTTTCCTAACTTTGGAAGGATTTCGATCCCTAATGTGACACTGCTTTTCGGCTTCTCTTTACAGATCGTAGCTTCGATGATGATGACAGCGTGGACGGGCAATCCTCTTCAGCTCAGGCTACCTTCAAGGTTCCTAAAGTTCCAAAGAAACCTGCAGAGTCCTCCGCCGCACGCAGGCCCAGCGCTACCAGCGGCAAGCTAGGTGCTTTATTTACCTTTGCCTTCACACACCAGTTACATGCCAGTAAAATGAGTAAAGTCTCCAAAAGATAACCCTTAATTTAAATTTAATACATTTTTTTTAAAAAAAGCTCTAAGAAGACTTTTTTAACTTTAGTCACTGCAATTGTAAGCTATTCAAACACATGGTAGAGTTTTGCCTTCAAATTTTTCCTATGATCCCTCTACTGCTCCAAGGCACTAGAATTTTTTCACATCTTCAGATGATCATCAGTATACGTGCTCTTGGCATTCTGAATAGAGATGCACAAATCTGATATTAATATCTGTTATAATTCCAGTGTTAAAGAAAATTCTACATCAGGTATCTGTAACAATGGCAAAATCCCAAAAATTGTAAATACATTTGATTCAATTCAGTTTATTTATCATTACAATTTCCCCATTGTGGGACAATAAAGGGATTTTCTATTTCTATATAGCACCACTTTACAACACATGGCATCTCAAGGCACTTTACAGAGGCAATTTAACCAGATCATACAGCAAGATTGTTTCTATCTAAGGAAAACCAGCTGATTTCATTGACTCTTCAGCAATCCCTCACACCAAGAATGCTTATGGCGACAGTGGAGAGGAGAACTCCCTATTAACAGGAAGAAACCTCCAACAGAACCAGGGTCAGTGTGAGCGGCCATCTGCCAAGGCCGACCAAGGAGTTCAAGGGTTCAAGGAGACAGAAGTGGATATAGAAAAAGAAGCAGAGATACAAAAGCCAACTGTCAATCACTGTTTTTCCTGGACATGGCCAGGAAAAACGAGGTCCGAGCCAGGCAAACAAGGTCTGAGCCAGCTCCCATGTCAGGGGATGAAGGAGCACTTACAGTTAGTCACAGTCAAAGAAAAAGTGCTACACTGAAAAACAGGACAAGCTCCAATATCTATGAACAAAGGTGTTGATGGCAGCAGCACATCAAATAATTCTCTCCAGGATGGTGTCACTGCCGAACAGGAATAGGCCAGATGAAGCTACTATGATGAGGAAAAAGCAGACAGAGCCGAGCGTTAGAGATTAAAGAAACAAATACTGCAGAATGGGAGAATAGAGAGAGAATGAAGTAGAATGATGAAAAAGGGTCCCTTTGTCCTCCAGCAGTCTTGAGCCTATAGCAGCACAAATGGAGAGAATAGCTCAGGATAACCTAAGTAAAAAAAAATGATCAGCGCTAAAGAAGCTGGCCTTTCAAACTGTTGTCTCCTATAACAGGCATCTCCAAAGTCAGTCCTCGAGGCCCGCTGTCCTGCAGGTTTTAGAGGTTTCCCTGCTTTAGCACAGCTGATTATGATGATTGCAGTAGACCAAAAGCCTGTTAATCACCTTTAAATTAAAATCAGCTGTGCTGGAGCGAGGAAACCTCTAAAACCTGCAGGACAGCGAGCCTCGAGGACCGACTTTGGGGATGCCTGTCCTATAACATTAAAGGCAAATTAAATTGAAGGAAAAAGTGAGAGAAAAAACGTTCATGAAGTGCAGTTTTTGAGATGCATCTTTTGACGATAAAGGCCTATTTTTCCTCACATGCATAACTTGGTAAAATACTGCCGTTTTAAGTTTGTGCTCTGTAAGAACATTTCCCTTGGTAGGTTTCTTTTTACTCCATTTGCATCCAAATGAAATTACACCCACACACTCTAACACACCCAGATCCTACAATAACTGCTAGTGTTAGTAGGTTACTATGCAGAAATACACAAGGAAGCTTATTTGTGTAGCATAGTAAAGAATTGTTTTGCTTGGTGTTTGTAGCAGCTCTACAGCAGCATCCTTCCTGGTGGATAACACCTTCCCAGCTGGTCCAACTCATTTCATAACGAGTTCATCTTTGAATGCTCTCTTTACTCTCCAGGTTTCCTTTCTTCCTTCTCTCTTCACTTCCCCCCAGTAAGGAGTTGTAATTGACCTATAGGCCTATATCCTGCGGTAGGATACGGGCCTATAAGACATCCAGACCCTGGAGCATCGTGATTGGCAGACTCATTACTGTCTGGACGACCATTAGAGCACAGTCAGCTATGTCTGACTTTGTGATTTTAGCCGACCTGTACAGAATTATTGCAACAAGGGTTTTATTCAGTCTCCAGTTTACATTTGCATGGATTTACTCTTCCTCTCCCCTGTTTTTTCTTAAGTTTCTAAGGAGAGTGCTGGGGCAGTTGATGAAGAGGATTTCATTAGATCCTTTACAGATGTCCCTACTGTTCAGGTACGGTTCGACCATTAGACATTTCTTAATGTTCATCTTTTTATTGGATCACATGTGAACAGTGCTCCTCCCTCTCTTAGATCTACTCTACACGGGACCTTGAGGACAACCTCAATAAGATCCGTGAGATCTGCTCTGATGACAAACACGACTGGGACCAAAGATGCATCGCTGTTAGTTCTTAACCCCATTGTACTAATGGAAGCGAAGGCTCTCACTATCCTGTCTTTAACTGTATTTTGGGTTGTTTTTGCAGCTGAAGAAAATCCGGTCCCTGTTGGTGGCGGGCGCAGCCACCTACGACTGTTTTTACCAGCATCTACGGTTACTAGACGGCGCCTTCAAACTTTCGGCTAAAGACCTGCGTTCACAAGTGGTCCGAGAGGCCTGCATCACTGTGGGGTGAGTTCCTCCCCTGTATTTATAGAAAATATTTACAGATTGACACAACTCCAGACCAAAGAGAAATGGAGATGGCTAATATTTCAATTCCTACACTTCACACGGGGAAATGGGAATAAAGTCGTAAAAAAGAATCAGTCCATCCATCCATCTCTCTCTACTGTCTAAAAAAACCCTCCAGTAAGGATTCATTCTGGATGTTTAATGAATCGTCTCATGATAAATGTGGGAGCAGTAATTGATTACTGGGAAGAAATAATTTAGATTTTCTTCTTTAGATCTGCTGATAGGTCAGCTCGGCCGATGGCTTAAACCCAATGCTCTGATACAAAATTAAACAGCACAGCATTCATGCTGTTTGTGTTAAATTGGGTCTAATCTCCTGTCTATTCCTTATTCAGCCATCTCTCGTCAGTCCTGGGGAATAAGTTCGACCATGGAGCCGAAGCCATCGTCCCTGTTCTGTTCAACCTCATCCCCAACTGTGCTAAAGTCATGGCCACCTCTGGTGTATCAGCCATCCGCATTATTATACGGGTGAGTTTACTCAAAACACTTCCTCTGCCCGTATTTTCCTGCTTTGTTTAGGTGCACCTTTTGTTTGGGAAACCGAATATAAGAGCTTTAATTTCAGATTTGTTGTTTCTGCAGCACACTCATGTCCCACGGCTCATCCCTCTGATTACCAGCAACTGCACTTCCAAGTCTGTGGCTGTGAGGAGGTGAGAAAAACACACACATGGATCCTAATACACCAGCAGACAGTTGTTGGTGTGAATCCCTTATAATTCGTATAGCCTCTCAATATTTAATGTTCCAAAACTGCTTTTCTTACTGTGATCTATTGCTTGTTCTTAGCTAATTGGAATCAAATATATTAATCATATTTAAAGACACATACAGAAGGAAAAAAAATGTATCAAATCTCAGCGAATGAGTGTGTTATAGTTTGTAAGATGTAATTTTCTAAACACATTGAATAAACATTATTTTGTTGTAAAGTCTGTTTTCTAGCAGCTAGAGTTAGCTTAGCGTTAGCTTAGCATCGCTGCATTTGTTTTTTTACTGTTTCAGAACTGTCTTTTCCAACTAAATAGTAAAGAAAGTCCAAAGCAATTATAAACAAATGAGTCAGAGGTCATTAACACAAATTAAAGTAAAAATTGCTCATGGTTAAACACTTCTGGCAATGATTCGAAAGATGCTGTTAGCCTGTGACTGCAACAAGGTATTCTTGGGTTATTTGGTATCGGCTGTCGGTTTATGATGATGCTGTTATGATGTTGAGTGTTTTTGTGTTTGGTTGATTAAACTAAATGTGTAATCTGTAGGCGCTGTTATGATTTCCTGGACCTTCTCCTGCAGGAATGGCACACCCACTCTCTAGAAAGGTGAGGACACGAGTTCAGTCTCAGTCTGACTTATTAACAGTTATTTAGGTCTTTATTGCAGCATCTGTAAGCGCATGTTTGTTGTGCAAAACTGTTAGCTAATAGAGTCCACCCATTAATGTTAGGTTTGATTTGATAATTGACAAAAAGGTCAAATTATTCAGTTGTTTTAAACTTGGAATAAATATATATATATATATATATATAGAGAGAGAGAGAGAGAGAATGGAGCTGTGAGTTCCTACAGTTCAGAGAGGTTGAAATGTCATTAATTGCAGAGAGAGATCTGCAGGATTCATGTGAATCTTTCATAAATTTTAACACTTTTTTTCCACTTGGCCTCCTTATTAATTTATTAATTTCTGCCCCAGACACACTGCAGTCCTGGTAGAGAGCATCAAAAAGGGTATCCGAGATGCCGACTCAGAGGCCAGAGCGGAGGCCCGCAAGTAAGACGGAAGCAGAGACATTCCTGAGAAGGATTTACCTCTCCACCGTTTATTAGTTTTGTGTTTTTTTTTCTCCCTCCTCACTTGATGTTTTTCTCTTTAAGGGCCTACTGGGGTCTGAGGAACCACTTCCCAGCAGCAGCCGACGCTCTTTACAACTCCTTAGAAGCGTCCTACCAGAAAACGCTGCAGCCCCACCTGAAGAGCTCCGGCAGCGTGGCCTCACTTCCCCAGAGTGACCGCTCCTCTTCTTCCTCCCAAGAGAGCCTAAAGTAACGAATATTCAACTCTGTTCATCTGTAGCTTAGTTTACACGTTTGAGCACGCTGAAACACTTCAGTTAAATCTTTGCACTGCAGTAATTTTAGAGGAAGGGGATTGACCCAATTTCTGATCTCTTACGCTATGGAAAGTCTGTTAATCTGCTCTCAGCTTGGCAGATCTTCCTTTCCTTTAGTATGTGAGCGAATTTACATGGTCGTCCCTTTACAGACGTACCCCTAAATCATCATCCTTTCTAAACCTGGCATTGAAATTTAAACCAAGCTTAATTTACTTCAAAATTTCATCATAGATGCATGTTGCTCTAGACCATCAGACTTGACAGCAAATACAAAATAATGCTGCACTTTATATACACATAGGGATTACTGAATCAGTGGGACATGGTGTGGAGGTGGTCAGAGTGTTGTTCTTCTGATGTATAATAAAACCCCTTATTAGTTATTCAGTGACCTTCAGGTCATTAGGTCAGAGGATTAGCACAGGTATCACTAAAGATGTTATTTCAGAGGATTAGCACAGGTATCACTGAAGATGTTATTTTTTTCAGGTATTGTTGTCGGGTGTCAATTTTTGCAGCATCTGGATGCAGCTTGTCAACTCTTTCCTCTTTAGCTCCGATAACCGGGGTTCTGCGGGTCATTAAAAATCATTAAAAGTCATTAAATTATTTTTTTTTTTATAAATTAAGGCCT